GATGGATCGGACGCTCAAGGAGGACTTATCTCTCGTTATTGCGTACTCACGATCAAAATCGATCAACGAACTATGATCGGAAAGTTCAATGTGGCAAAGTTAGCTAAGCAGGACAAAATCCTCCTAGGATTCCCTGGCTTGCTGCACTAAAACCTCAGATCGATTGGGAAGCCAAGACCGTATTACTCCCATCAACGAAGAGGTCGCTTGCCATAGAAAAAAGCATCGACAGAAAAAGACGAAAAAGTCACTCCCCGCTTTTCAGAAAAGAAAAGAAGTCAGAAAAGAAACGAACCGAACTTGGACAAATTCCAAACTACGGAAGCCGATAGTTGATGAAGAAATACCTAACTATGACACGAAGGACGACGTCTGGTCAGAAAACTTCAAAACTCCAGTCGCAGACCCATTTGACTATCAATTGGCCATGACGAAGTACTCGTCGAGTATGCCACTGATGGATCCACCGTACGCATCATAGAAGATATAACCTTCGATACCCCACTCGTTCGAGACGGAACATCAAAAAGAGAACAAAACTATGGAAAAACAAGTAATAAAGCCCAAGAATTCGCGGTTGCAGGAGAAATAAAAAGCAAAAGAAAACTTTCGAAGAACTCGTCCCTCACTTCCTCCACCAGTATCAAGACGTTTTGCCAAGGATGGTCTTAACAAACTCCCGCCGGAAAGACCGGAGTAGATCATCGTATCGACCTCAAACCAGGATTTGTACCCAAGACGTCAAAAGTCTATCCATTATCAGGAAAAGAACGAGAAGCTGTCAAAACATTTATCGAAGAAAACACTAGAAAAGGTTTTATTGTCCCCTCCAAGTCACCTCAAGCCAGCGGATTCTTTTTGTAGGAAAGAAGAGCGGAGAACTACGTCCCTGTCAGGATTATCGGTATCTCAACGATTGGACCGTACGAAATCAATATCCCCTCCCCTTGCCAAAATCCCTCATTGAACAACTCTATGACGCTAAGTATTTCACGAAGATCGACATTAGATCAGGGTACAATAACGTAAGGATCCACCCAGAAGATCGATGGAAAGCAGCGTTTACCACTCAAGAAGGACTGTTCGAGCCAACAGTCATGTTTTTTGGATTAACGAATTCCCCCGCAACTTTCCAAGCGTTCATGACCAACTCTGCCAGAAGCAGATAAACCAAGGATGGCTAGTCATATACATGGACGACCTATTGATCTTCTCAAAGGATCTCCAGCAGCACCAAGCACGGACCATCGAAATCCTCGACATCCTTCGAAAAGAGAAACTATTCGTTAAACCGGAAAAATGCACCTTTGATGCGCGAGAGTAGAATATCTTGGAATGATGATCCGACCAGGGGAAGTAGGGATGGAACCCGCCAAAGTAGACGGAATCAAACACTGGCCAACCCCGGAGAACCTAAAAGACACACGGTCTTTCTAGGATTCTGCAATTTCTACCGGACGTTCATTGCTCACTACTCGGATATCGCTCGACCCCTTATCGACCTCACAAAGAAAGACCACCCTTTCGTTTGGACTGACAAATGTCAGAACGCCTTTGACCACCTTAAAAACGCCTTTTTATCGCAACCAGTACTAAGAAACCCGGATCCAACTCGCCAATTCGCAATTGCTACCGATGCATCGTTGGCAGCAACCGGAGCAGTGTTGCTGCAGACTGATGAAAATGGAATGTACCATCCATGCGGTTACCTATCCCAATCTCTCAACCCCGCAGAACGAAACTACGAAATCTTTGACAGAGAACTACTGGCAGTCATTAGAGCACTCTCGAATGGCGCCACTATTTAGAAGGGAGCCCCCACACCGTGATAGTATTCACGGATCATATGAACCTCCTGTACTTCCGCTCCGCCCAAAAGCTGACACGAAGACAGGCACGTTGGCAGCTCGCCCTTTCCAATTATCAGTTAGAGTTGCATCACGTCGCAGGGACCAAATTAGCCGCCCCTGATGCCCTTTCTCGACGCCCCGACCATTCACTCGGAAAAGACGATAACGAAAATCGCATTCTCCTCCCTGATACCATGTTCGTGCGACTAATTGACAATGATTTGTCAGAAAGTATTGCACGCAACTCCAACGATCCCGTCTACCAGAAAGCCCTGGAAGCATTGGACGGAGTATGCCTTCCCCCAATGAAATCCGCCCTCTCAGACTGGATGCACCGATGGCGTCCTCTTTATAAAAATAGAGCTTACGTCCAGCAGCCCAACGACATGACGTGTTATTTAAACACCATGATCATCCCACTGCGGGACATCCCGGACGATTCAAGACGGAAGAACTCGTCAAACGAGATTTTTGGTGGCCAGCCATGGGAACTTACATCCGCAAATACGTCGACGGATGTGCCTTATGTCAGCAAATGAAGGCTGACACGCACCCGGTCACTCCGCCGTTGCGACCGATCCCCTCCATCGCCACTCGCCCCTTCTCCAAGTCTCTGTTGACCTTATCACCGACCTACCTGTATCGGGCGGTTTTGACTCTATCATGATCGTGGTAGACCATGGGCTTACGAAGGGGGTAATTATTTCACCTTGCAATAAAAACATCACCTCCGAAGGAGTAGCCAACTATTCCTCAAAAACGTGTTCAAAAGATTCGGCCTCCACGAAAAAGTGATCTCAGACAGAGGACCGCAGTTCATTTCGAAATTCTCTCGAGAACTTGCCCGACTACTCGGATATCAGATCGCCGCATCAACCGCCTACCACCCCCAGACAGACGGACAAACAGAACGTCTTAACCAAGAACTGGAAACCTACCTACGGATCTATTGCAGGAATAACCCGTTAGAATGGTCAAATCATCTTCCTATCGCCGAATTCGTCCACAATCATCGGAAACACGATGCCAGGAACACGTCCCGTTCTTCCTCATGATGGGCTACGAACCACGTGGGATCCCTCACATCTTATCAGTATCAGACACGCCAGCAGCAGAAGAAAGACTCAGAAACCTACAGAAGATACGTGAAGAAGCACTCGCTTGTCATAACATCGCCATGCAACGAATGGCAGAAAGATCTCGCCATGGGAAATACCGACCATGGAAGATAGGAGATAAGGTATGGCTTACAGCCACCAATCTCCTGACATCTTTACCTTCTAGGAAACTTGCGCCCAAACGATACGGCCCATTCGTTATCACCGCAGTCTTATCTCCATCACATTTACTCTAAAACTCCCAGACCAGTGGAAAGTTCACCCCACGTTCCATGCTTCGAACTATCGTCCTATCGCGAAACAGAGATACACGGACCGAACTACACCGAACCTCCACCTGACATTATCAATGGCGAAGAAGAATATGAAATAGAAGCTATTCTTAGCCATAAAGGCACGGGTAAACGAAGACGCTATCTCGTATCATGGATAGGCTACTCTTCTGGAAGCAACGAATGGATACCCGAGGAGAACTTGCGGAGTTCGAAAGACTTTTAACAACATATAAGAAGAGGCACAAGCTAAACTGAACGAACCATTCCCTGTAAACGAAACCTAAGTAACCAATATGCCCTTCCCCCGCATCCACCTACACTCTGCCATACCACTCCACCTTCGAAACCTCCGCCCTTGATTCCAATGACGAACAATACGAACTTACATCACCCAAGCTGAAGACCTCACCCTCATTGAGGCAGCACTCCTCTGCCCCAACATGCCATCGAGCTCACCAGAGTCCTCTTCGGAAGAAACGCCCACTCTATCACCTCCTCATCAACATCATCAGAGCCACTGAGATCATCGAGCGAGTCTGTCGTCTCGTTGAAGACAACGCGGTCCGCCACAGTCTCATGCATATGCAGAGGCGCATACGCAACTTTGCTCTGCGCCTTATTCCTGAGAAGTTAAAGATGATATTAGAACAGTCATCCACATCGTCTCAGAACAAACCGCAGGGGTTGCGCGCCCACCTTCCCCTATGGGCCTCCACTAGAGGAGCCCCTCCTCCCTCATACCAAGACGCTGCTCCTACTCTCTCTTCTCACATTCCTAATGAGTTACTGGCTGCGGTCAATAATCTCGCACAGACAACGGAGGCCATGTTAGCTTCCCTCAGAGAAGAAAACCGCCAGGCGGTCCCCGTACCAGCTCCTACGGTGGAGACTATCGAACACCCTCCCCATCTTTATACTGCGTTCTCTGCTACCCGCGAAGAGATCGCTGCAAATCCAAACGAACAACTCCTATCCTATCATGAAGTACAGGACTTAGCCAACGCGTTGCCTCACTCCACATTCATCCCCCGCTTATCATTCCGGACTCGTTATCGACGCATACCTTCACGGATGGAATCGTACCCATGCAAGCGTTGGGAAGAACTCAACCTGCCACTCCTGCTGAGCTAATCGCGGAGGCAGAGCAACGAGGTGTAACCATAAGACACCCCATGCAACGAACCGATTTACCAGGAAAAGAACACGAGCTCGGCGCTCTGGTAAAGATAAAGGGAAAGAGACGCGCCACTAGCACAGATGAAGCGCTTAGCCCTAAGCCAGGCCCATCACCCTTACGAGCGACCTCCTCTAATCCTGATGAAAACCGCGTATGCAGATACTGCCAGACGCTCGGGCATAGGCAGGTTAATTGCCCCGAATACTATTGTCGCGTCTGTCGAGAATATCTCCAGGCCATCTTTCATTTTATTGCCCACACTATACTGGAGAAACCCCTACCTCTTTAACTTGGAAAGACGAAGGATTTACCAAGCACTCGCAGCCTGGGAGAACGACGACGATGACGCATACGCAGCATTGTGCCAGGAAGAAGAAATGCTTTACTCGGAGGAACGCATAAGGGCTGGACCAGAAGACGACTTAGAGTATTCTGACGATCCCATCTACTATGCTAACCAGGATGATTGAATCCGGTGGTTTCACCCTAGTAAGGGGGTAATGTTACAGTAACATTTAGACCCCTATACTCATTCCCCTTTGTTGCTAAACGGGCCGTCCGTATCACGCTTATTCTTATCATGTCTATCTCTTATCTTGCCAAGCGGGCTGTCCGCCTCTTCTTGCTTCTATCTTGATAACACATTTACAAGCTCCGCTTGAACACTTGTATATAAACCTACCTACCACTGTTGTATTCCTTACTTTAATCTACTGGGTTTTACCTGGAACATTGTCCTTCAGTAAGGTCTCCAACCTTACTGTCTAAAGAACCACTATTCTAAGGGAGTCAGCGATACTCGCCTTAGCCAGAAACCTTGATCTCTCAATCGAGAGCAGACTCACGTCTATCTGGCATTCTGCCGACCGTCTACTCAGACAGAGATAGCTCGACTCATCCCAGTCGTAACACCTGCACTTCGAGAGCGTTCGGTGCCTCCTCAGCCTGCTCTTCGAGAGCGTTCGGTGCCTTTGCAGCTTCCTATACAAGATGTGTTTTACGAGGCTCCTCTTATCAATTCATCTGAGAATGCTCGCCCAGATGGTGGCCAGCCTCCACAGCCCAACTTCTTTACAAAACCCTCGTTTCTACCACTGGAACAATATGACTTCAGTGGTATGATGTTGGGTTCCTTCGAAAATGGCGGAGATGACAACCACATTGCCGGCTCATCGACGTTGCTACCTGCTGTGCCTCAGACTTACATCACACCTCCTACTCCGACAGGGCCTGCAGAATGGGAGGGTCATCCTTACACTGACGGCTTTCCCATGGATGATGCTTTCGACTTCCCCATGGACGATACATCTGATGTCGTCCCTGCAGTGAAGGGGCGAAGATTTCAGACAGCGAATGCTGTGCTCCGAGAGGGATTCGTGGAACTCGAACGTATGATTCAAGATCTAAGTAGCAAAACAGCCATCCCCACTCATCAGATCGTCATACTTTGGAACAAGAGCCATGCGCGCTCCACCAGTACTGTCAACCATTGGAACGCTTACAGTAGTTACTTCAAGGACCACCTCAAGGACGAGCTTGCGAGGCTCGGCAGGAGGGCCCCCGAGATTCATGGCACACCAAGTGAGTTTTACATCTTGTGGCCGATGTTCTGTCATTCTAATGCGGTGATTCAAGGTGCCACTGTGCGCCGTAATTGCTATGAACTCTTCAAGGCAGCATTCCCGGACAAGTGGCAAAACATCCTCGAGCTTCATGAACAGTCAGCGATGCTCCTGGGTATTCCTCAGACGGTTGCTATGCGGGGTCAAGAGTTCCACAAATTTGGCACAAAGATCTCTGGCCTTGTGAGTATAATTCCGTCATGTTTTACTATTGTGTTACTGAGGGTAGACAGATGGACTCTGCAGCAGCTCGCTATGGCTTTGAGGCTGCTTTTGTAGCGTGCGGAAAAGTCGTTAATCAAGACGGCTCGCTGGGCCTAGCCCATACGACACCTGGAGCTGAGGGTGTGAGTATTTGTAGGCCACATAAACGTCACCTAATCACTATCTTAATTTTAGTTTTGGAAATCGCGCTGTAGGGCTGATGAAGATACTATCATCGGTCACTTGAAAGCCCAGGTATAGTAAGTATTGTCTCGACGTTCCTGGTGACGAAGTTCTCATGTAATCATTAGTAACCTGACATCACTCGGTGTCGTCGAAGAGGCCTTTGATGAAGACAGCATTGGGATCGATGCCAACGTACGCGGGGCTTCAGTCCCCCCTTCAGAATCTCTCGACATTTCCAAGCATGGAATCAAGTGGATCAAGGATGAGTTGCATCGTCAAATTGGTATTTTGAGTGTATTTCATTTGTCGTTTGTTCGCTGACACTGAGGGACAGATGCACTGGGCGGAAAACTAACGTCCAACAAGATTTTTCCGTGGAAGACACTGCCATCGGAGCTCACGCGTATGTCAATGATCATCAAAGGATATCCGGAGGACATGCTCCTCCCAGGTGGTTTTCATACCACCGTAAATAAAGGTATCGCAAACCTGACTCTGAAGGAGACCGGCATTGTCATCGCAGCCTTGAAGGCGGGGACCATGAGCATCAAAAAAATTGCCGAAGCTAAGCGAGGTATGTTTTTATTCAATTTCAGTCTTCGCCTGCTTACAAATGATCTTTTTATACAGCTAAAGTCCTCACTTCTGAGTGCCCAGTAGTGGAGGGCGCGCCTCCTGCAGCAGATTCGTTCATACTGCAGGACGTCGCCTTTTTGTGAATGGCAAATCGGATCGCCTGGGTGCTCTGCGCCTGAAGCAGAGCACAGCTACTTCCATAGTCAAAGGCAAAACATCAAAGAAAGCATCGGCACTGCCTGCTTCCACAACATCTCTTGCTGACGAGTCCGATGACGAACCAAGCGTGTCTGCACCTGTCCGCCCCAGCCTCCCCCCTCCCGAGAATTCAAAGTCGTTAAGTGCCCGACGGGCCAGAAGAAGGTCGACAAGGAGGTCATTTCCTTGGCATCTAGTGATACTCCGTCTGGCTCAGAGGACCTAGATGAAAACCTGGAGGAATCAGTGGTTCTCGACTCCGATTACCAAGATGATGTTTCCTCCAAGAAGCGGAAGGCGAAATCCGAAGGCGCCTCGCGAGCATCCAAAAAGAGGTCACCGTCTGTTGCGCCTGCAGAGAAGGCAGTCTCAGCAAAGAAGATGAAAGGTAAGGTACCTGTGAGGCCTAAACCCAAGGTGCCTGAGAGGAGAGCACCGTCGGGGACTGCTGAGTCCTCCGGTGATGAACATATTCGAGATGTATGAGGTATGTTTGTTCCTCTTGCATTTGCTTCTATAAGGCGACTGATGTATATTGTAGCCAAACCTGCTAAACGTCTGCTTAATGGTTCGTCAGCTCAAGGTATGAATTTGTTGACTACATTGTTACAATTTCCATTGACTGACACGATCCTTAGAGCATCCTGTGACTGCAGTCGATCCCATCGTGGATAATGACGTCGATGCTCCTGACGGTAGTGCCGTCAACAAAGCTGCAGCAGAGACTCGCTCGAGCAATGCTGATGCTACCAACAGCCTCCCCACACGTCCCTTGCCTCCCTCGCCAACTCGTCATGCTTCGGTAGACTTATTCCCGGACAACATCGTGCGTGCAGGATCTCTCGCACCAGCTTCTAAGTCGCCTGTTGTGCGACCTCCATCCCTGCAGCGCGGGGAATCTCTTGGGCCAGCAGCTAAGTCGCCTCTCATGCAACCTCCATCCCTGCAGCCTGCGACAATTCACGACCAACCCATTGGGCGCAGGGAGCCTGTCATGGGGATGCCATGATCCCATCATGAGCGGCGTACCGAATCCGAGATGGCGGCTGCACCTACCGACGGAGACTTTAATGCCGAGAGTCACTCCATGACGCGGGCGCACGATGCAGACATGAGACCAGGGATGTATGGTCCACGCCCAAGGGGTCCAATGCCATCGCGCTATGGACAAGGCTTTGCTCGTTACCCGCCGCCCGAATATTACCATGACTCCCGTATGGCTCATGCCCCCCAGCCCCCCCATGGTCCTCAGCCTCAGTATCACGGTGATTACCATGATGCTCCCTACCACAATTCTCACGATGGATACGACGGTTATGTCGAGACTTATTGGCACCCTCCCAGCAGTGCATATTTTGGTCCACAAGGCAGATACCAGCATGGGTATGGGCGTGAGTATCCTAACGAGTACCCCAAGGACCAGGAGGATTGAGGACGAACTCCTTAGGCTCGCAGGCCTCATTTTTTGCATTCAGGTGACTTCCTCGGCCGCGTATATATTGAGTTGTTTCGTCATTTTGGTTGTCGTGCTTGCTGTCGAACGTTGACGTATCTACCGTGTCCTTTGTATCTACCATAGTATCAGCCAATGCAATGTTTTGTATGTGATCAGGCCTCGTTTGACTCCTCAAGACAATCACGATCACGGAGGATTGGGTGCAGAAATGGAATAAAACATTCAAACTGGAATATGGAAGTATGGAAGTATGGATAACATACAGATACGGAGAGGCTCCAGAACACATCCGCTATCACACTTGCTGACATCTGGAGATGCTGACATGGGGAGGCAGGCAGTGAGCATCTGGAGAGGCTGCTATGTTGAGGCTCTCCAGGGAACATACCAGGAGGTTGCGCTTACCCTCTGTGATGAGGCTCTGGTTACATGCTCTCGAGGGATGGCCACACATCCTTGGAAAACTAGGGCGAAGCCTCCTGGAGGAGGGGGTCTCTTAGACTATATATTTGCTACATAATAATAGGGTCTGACGGTATGTGGGAACATCTTGAAAGTGCTGCCAAGGGTGCACCACTCTGGCTACGACTCGGAGCCTCTGCGTCATCCTGCTCCTCCAGCTGGTACTCTCGAATGGCGTCTTCAAAGGCCTTGTTCTCAGTGTGGACCCGGGATGTAGTACTAGCCGATGACAGACCGAGTGATTCAACACCTGCATGAAAACTTCGAAGCATGAATGTTAGAATACTAGAGTAATAGTAAGTCAAAACATACCGGCCTACATCATGCAGATTGGTACAGATTCTCTCGAGAAGTTTGTAAGGTGCAGTGCGCTCATCAAAGCGCAGCAGTGAGCCCAAATGATTATTGTAGACAGCTCCATATGTAGCGGATGTGAACTTGATGTCTTCTTTGATGCCTGGCAGCCACTCGTCGATACAACATTCGATCTATGAATAAGACATTGTTAGTGCCCTCATAAGAACTTGAATACAAAATAAGCTCACCGCTGTAAGCACGAGTGCGAGAGCTCTAACAGGAAAGGGATTGAAGTACTTATGGTAGATGAGGCCCTCGTCGTTCCGATTTGAGAACCACATGAGGTTGATGCCCTCTTGGAGCAATTCGGTTTTGTAGACTCCCTTCTTTGACGACCAGTCCTATTATCCAATGTCAGCACACAGTAATATAGATTGTCATCTGCGTACCTTGAATATAAAGGCTGAATCGGCTTTCAACGACTCTGCCCGATCTCGGTTCTGTTGCATCACCTGCATGGAATTACTTGCCCGGAAACCATAAAAAGAACTAGTCAGCAGGCGCATCTTGGTTTTGAGTTCACCTCGCACATGTGATGTGCGATTTAAGAGCTTCATATCAATCAGACCCAGAGCGTGGTATGAACAGATTGCTTACCATTTTGACTGCTAAAGGTGTTATTTTGACATCAATATCTTTAATTTTGCATGCCTCGTGCCAGGCCTCTTTGGCCAAATTTGTCTCGACGGCGACAGAATCAGGAAACGGGGCTCGTGTGACAATCAGACATCGAAAAATTGAGCAGGCCGTTGTGAGAATCTCTTTGGAGATGTTGTCAAAGTCGCTGGCTTTGACACGTTGACGCGAACCGTCCGAGTTTTTCTTGACCTTCGGGACTATCAGGACATCTTCTAAGGACATGTTGAATTGTCGCTTGGTCCCCCGAGCTATTGGCAATGGTTCACCAGTGTTGTCGTCATCGTTGTCGTCATCCAGGTCGGTTGACTCAGACCTGTCATCGTCATCAGCGTCCAAGGTAGGAGTGTCGTCTGGAGCATCATTGAGATGGGCATTGGCCGCATTCAAGTTGCTTCGTGGTGCTGGATAAAGTCAAACAGAGGGATATTAGGATAGTCAGGCTAATATTGATAGAATAAACACATACCCTTTTTTCCTTTCGTGTTCCGGTCAGTATTAGTAGGCACTATGTGTGCGCTGGTGTTGCTGTGGCGCCATCTCGGGGGAATTTTGCCTGCGCTGAACTTCAGGGCACTAGTGTTTGACAACTTTGTCTTGATGCTGTGATCGGAGAACTGAATAAAGTATGGTCAGTGGCTCGTTTAAGTTAGGAAAGAAGAAAAAAGCTCAGACCATCATATCTTCTTGCCTGTCGATGTCGCTATGCAGCTCCGAAGGCTCTTGCTCAAAGTTGTCGGGACGGTCTTGATAGGCGGCCTTCAGTGCCTTTTTCTTCTGCTTTTCCGACTTCTGTTCCTTGACTTCTTGACGACGGGTAATATGTTGAGATTCAGAAACTATAGAGGATCATGAGCGAGTAAAATACAATATTTTAGTAGTACTTACAACGGTAGGATTCTTTTTCAGTTGGTCAACGCTCTCGACCGCTTGCGGTGCGCACACTCGGTGGTGCTGCAGGCATTGACGAGGTAGTGCGCGCATTCAGCGGTGCTGCAGGCATTGACGAGGTGGGCTTAAATTTTTGCTGCTTGGAGGCAGCCTTAGTATGAGGTGCCATGGTCACTAGAGCACAAGGTGTGATTAGCGTTAGCAAAATATATAAGACCATAAAACATACAAACAACTCACAATTGAACCTTGATTGTTCATTGATTCCAGGGCTCGTTTGGCTAAAAGCTGTGTGTTTAATGAAAGAAAGGATAAAAAGATTTGAGCGTACCGTCACAATATTTTTTCACTGTCATGGATACCCTCAACGTTACAAAAAAAACGGTACAAAGCTTGCTTCAAACACTCACCACACTCTGACGAATCCTCCAGCACAATGTCACCATCTGCCGGTCACAAAGACGCTGCTCGTAAAGACGGGAACCTCGAGATCAAAAGGTCAGTTATCCCATTGCCCCTCCCAATTATCGCAATGTACTTACCAGTGGCCTGCAGGCCAAAGCTCGAAGAGCCTGACACAGGCCCCATGTTCCCGCGCCCTCCATTTCGTCAGACTCCAGGCCCCATCTTGGTTTCCCAAATATACTTGCACAAGCTCATTTTGGAGCGCTGGGAGGCAGAAGTGAAGGCCTGCGAGAACGCCAAAAAATTGCAACTAATAGAATTAGTACCAGGCACTGGCACTCCTAGCCTCTTACAAGCGAGCTTGCGAAGACTCGTTAGTGAGCGCTGGGATGCAGAAGTGAAGCGTTGTGAGGAGGCGAAGTGGGTGCAACTTTTAGAATTGCTTCTGGCCGCCCATGGTATTTTGAAACTAGTGTAGCGTGGCAACTAGAAGGTACAGTCATCTGGTAAAAATTTACGGTACATGTCAGAAATGCTATGGAGTTGTGCCAGGAAAATAAACTTGAACCTTGTGATGAGGAGAGCCTACCGATATTGGTGAAACAACAGAGCTAGTCTCCATAAGCGATTGCGTTCAGGTGGGTTCTTGGAAGAGCCGGGAGCTAGTCTCCATAACCGACTGTGTTCATGTGGTTTCTTGGGAGAGCTGGGAGCTAGTCTCCATAAGCGATTGCGTTCAGGTGGGTTCTTGGGAGAGCCGTCCACTGCACCCCATGGATCGTCCTTCCAATCAACAAAACCATTGGGATTGCGTTCAGGTGGGTTCTTGGGAGAGCCGTCCACTGCACCCCATCGATCGTCCTCCCAATCAACAAAACCAACATGGATAGCTAGTCTCCATAACTGACTGCGTTCTCAGTGTGCCTAGATTGAGTCCAGGCCAGGGCGCATGAAAATTATTTTAAGTAGGTACATTACAAATCAGAATTGAAACACTCACTCGAAACACTCACTCGAAACATTCACCAACCATGCCCCAGTGCTGCGTATTTTGTGGTAAGGAGTTCCCTACAAGGGGTGGTGTCAAGAGACACATAACTGGCCGCCCTGAATGTAGAAGGGCATGGGAGTTAATGATCGAAGAAACTGAGGCCACCTATGATGAAGATGGCCCACAAGTGGACTTTGCTTACGATGATGTTGGCAGCTCATTTGGCCTGCCGCTTCGTCGCTCACGTTCCAAGTCCTCCGATGCTGATCAAGGCAACCCACCAGCACTGAAAAGTCGGAGGGTGACCATCGAGGAGGTTTCTGATGAAGATGCTGTGAGAACAAATAGTGGGCGATATTTCAAGGAATGCCCTGATGGTGGACGGACTCTGCGGGAGGGAGAAACTGGTTTTGAGAGCTATCGGAAGTATAAAAAAAGCATGGGTGAGGACGAGTGGGCACCTTTTTGCGATGAGTACGTACCCTGTTGTCTTCATCTCCTCTGCAAAATGATTGATTTCAGTCGCCAGGGAAGAATGGGGACTCGCAGAGTGGCTCGTTAAAAGTCTGGGCCAGACCCGAACCAATGATTTTCTAAAGTTGCCGATAGTAAGTTACACATTGACCGCTGAAAGAATTGGACTTACTGGTGTGACAGACACGAAACCGAATGCAACCATCCTTCCACAACAACCGATCGTTCCTCCAGAAGGTCGATGAACTTCCACATGGAGCTGCCTGGAGCTGCAAGAAGATCAGTGTCCGGGGAAACCAAACAGACGAGAAGGGTGAACCATTGCATGAAGATGTCGAGCTTTGGATGCGTGATCCTGTGGAGTGCATCAAAGACCTGATCGGAAATCCTCAATTCAAGGATCACATGGTGTACGCACCTGCACAAGCATACACAGACTCTGCGGGACTCAACCGAGTGATTGGTGACATGTGGACTGCAGATTGGTGGGGGGAAAAGCAAGTGAGTATGCGATCCAAAAAGTTAAGCAAAGACTGACCTACAACGTCCAGAAACAGTTACCAAAAGGAGCGACCATAGCACCTATCATTCTTGCTTCAGACAAGACATGTTTGTCACAGTTCCGAGGTGACAAATCTGCGTGGCCTATATACCTCTCAATCGGCAACATTGCCAAAGAAAAAAGGCGACAACTGTCAGCACGAGCAACAGTCCTGATTGGGTACTTACCTGCAGAAAAACTCGAATGCTTTACATCAGATACACGCTCCCTTGCTGGTTACCGGCTCTTCCACCATTGTATGTCCCTCCTGCTGCAACCGCTCATTGCTGCAGGACAAAATGGCATTGAAATGGTATGCGCTGACTCGATGATCCGCCAAGTTTACCCGATCCTTGCAGCATATGTGGCGGATTTCCCTGAACAATGCCTGGTCGCATGTTGCAAGGAGAACCGTTGCCCAAAATGTCTGGTTGCGGCGGATGAAAGAGGTGATCCACTGAGTACACCGATGCGGGACCCTCCATTGATAAAAGAGATATTGAAGAAGCGACAAAATGGTCAACATCCAGCTGAATTCGAAGACTATGGATTACGCACCGTCTATCATCCTTTTTGGGCTGACCTTCCACACACAGACATCTTCCTTGCCTTCACACCCGACCTCCTACACCAACTCCACAAGGGCGTCTTCAAAGATCACTTGGTTAAATGGTGCCTTGATATCGTTGGTCAAGCTGAAATGGACGCACACTTCAAAGCCATACCGGATTATCCCGGTCTTCGGCACTTCAAAAAAGGAATCTCGACGGTGAAACAATGGACGGGTACAGAACACAAGCAGATGCAGCGTGTTTTTGTAGGGTTGCTTGCTGGTGCAGTACCAAGGTATGCTTCAAACATGCTTAACAAGGCTCGCACTGACAGAATCATTTTTTAATATTTACCAGTGGAGTGTTGGTGGTTGCACGCGCTATTCTAGATTTTTCTTATTACGCGCAGCTTCGAATACACACAGTTGACACCCTTGATCATCTGGAGAGCGCCCTTTCGGTATTTCACGCCAACAAAGAAATCCTGCGCGAACTCGAAGTTCGAGATCATTTCAATATTCCTAAATTGCACCAACTCTCGCACTACGTCCAGTCCATCTCATTGTTCGGTACTACTGACGGGTTCAACACCGAGCTTCCTGAACAACTGCATATCGACTTTGCTAAAGAAGCTTACCGCGCTCATCACCAAAACTGTCCAACGTATATATAACTATATATACACCTGTAACCACTGTAACATGCTGTGACGACTGTGACGAGTATCTATAACTGAGCATAGAATACATACCGATATGACATATCGATTTTTGTCATATGGTCAGAGGCATGTTCCAGACCGCGTCATATGCTTGCTGGCATAATCCAGAAGGCTCTGAGATTATATTATCTTATATTGAGTTATAACATTGAATCACGCTGATATCCCATCATAACCACCTATCATTGAGATATTCGAATACATGCGGTACAGTGGAATGTAATGTAATCTATTAGTGGTAACCGTGTACCGATCGTCCGGACATGAGCACTAAGTTAGAAATCGTAAAAAAGAGCATATGAGTGATGTCATTGAAGACCGTAAGTGAAAATGAGACATGTCCATGAGAGCATGAGAGCAGTAGAGTAGTATTGAGTCCGTGAGTGTAATGCGAATGCGAATGGAGCTGGTAAAAATGGTTATAATGCAGTAGTGTGATTCTAAATACAAGCAAGCAAATGTTATGAGTATCGAGCAGTCTACGAGACTGATGCGACTCACCTATTTCCTCGACTTGCGCTTAGTCGGAGCCTTCTTGGGTTTCTTAGCAGCGGGTTGTCGTGCGCGCTTGGCTGGCTGAATAGTATCCGGTTCTTCTTCTGTCAGAGGGCTGTCGTCATCAATGGCTGCAACGAGTGTGGAGGCCTGTTTGCGCTTCCCTGAGTTGACAGGTGGATTGGGAGTAGGCAAGCGCGTAGGTACGGCCTTCTCCTTCCGTGAGTCGACAGGTGCATCGGGAGTAGGCAAGTGTGTAGGTACGTCCTTCCGTGAGTCGACAGGTGGATCAGGAGTAGGTGAGCGTGTAGGTACGGCTGACTCTTGAGGAGACGAGGGAGGCAGTGGTGAGGGCTGCTTCAAGTTGTCCTTGCGAGGAATAACTGGTGGTTTGGCTACTGGAGGCTCTGGAATGGGAGATCTTTGAGGTGCAGGAGGTGAGGACTCGGGACGCGACTCCTGTTGCTTGTCGACTGCCGAAGACTGTGCAGATGTTGCGTTGGAGGTTCCGGAAGCCCGCGCAGCATGCACGGCGAGTTGTCGTTCCATGGCAACCATGTCGTCCTCGTCTGAACACTCGGCGTTCGCGGAATGAGTAGCTTTGGCGCCGTTTTCATTGCCAAATAATTTCCTAGACACACAAGCATGTTAGATGATAGAATAATGCAGTGAATTACTTACTCATTATAATGTGCTAGGAGGGAATCGACCCACTCTCCGTCTTTCCTCCCCCGAATTAACTTTACCATCCTAGTGTAGAAGTCAGGGTAATGAAAGAGGGCGTCCTTATCCTTCCATTTGTCGAGTGAACTGATTGCAAAGCGAGCCTGTACAAAAGAGACTGATTAAATCAAGTGCATGTTTTAAAAAAACTTACCTGGACCGCGGCATATGCAATATGTTCGGCCTCCACTCCTGTCATCCTGTGGAGTTTCGCATTGCAAGCGCGAGTTCCATTGGAGACGCCAACCTTCAGTGCAGATGAAGGAGAAGTGAATATATGTTTAGCGACCTGCATAGTAGGTTAGAACTACACAATATTATTTAAAAAAAATGTACCCGCTCTAAGAGATACCCACGGAAAAGTCCTTCGATGATATCCTCAGCGTCGAAATCTTCGCCTGGAATGTCGCCTGGATACAGATAGGCGGGCCACACGGCAGAGGTTACCTTCAACGACCCACTATCGAATTTGTCTTTCATCCTGTAGTACTGTTAGTACTAGTAATTCGAGAAAATTAAACATACCTTGCGGGATCCTTGATGTAGTCGACTAGATGCTTAGCAGGACAAAGCATTTTGCCCAGCTGGGCGTGGTTGAATCCCATTTTGGCGCGATTCTTGCTGTCGTCAGCAATTGGAGGGTAGACGAGCTCTTTATCAGGGTGCGGAGCTGCGTATGAGCCCATGCCGGCCTTGAGGCGACTCGCTGTCCTCGGAGCGTGTGTGATTGATCATATGCTGCATCTGTTGATAGTGAGTTGCAATCAGTACACGTGGAAAGTTACGCACCTCGCCGATGAGTTGCGTGAGCTCCTCGCGTTTTTTCCTCTGGCCAATCAGAGTCCCAAGATAAGGGGCGTGTTCCGTGACGTATTCGAACGTCCGCTTGTACCGCGCACGAGTGATTTCATCACTAAAAACAATATTAGTGCGCATACTATGCGGTCATATGTACTTACCAGTCAGCCAGAATCTTCTTCCGGGCAGCCCTAATTTGCTCTTCTTCCGTTTCATCTCCGTCCTCGGCTGCTTCTTCCTGCTCTAAAAGTAGACATACCTGGATCACCTGCTTGAGATCACAGAACATGTCTAGGCCGCGTGGGATCCAACTGTGCAACGTGGATACACTGCTCCCGCGGCATAAGAACTTTATTGCGCGATCTTCTAGAATCTCGTCAATCTGAAATATAGATGAATAAAAAATCTCTCACCTTTTTGGCTTTTCATTCTTCTTATCGATCATCGCAGGGCTACTACTACAGTCTATATGCTGCAGGTGAGTTCTGATCCGAACAACTGACAGTATCACTCACCTGGCCTTTTTGGACTTACGTCCGCCCTTGTCAGACGATTGAGACGCGTCCCTTCCACAGTTTGCGTGGTATAGTGGGTGGTGGTGTGCTGGGGCGCGTACTTACATCAGAGTCTTCAGAGCTTGTAGATGAAGAGCTAGACCCCGAAGATGCAGATGAAGATGCCGAAGAAATAGAGTCAGAGCGTTTGCGGCGAGCCATGGTGTTGGAGAGCTGAGAAAGATTCAAATAAGATGGCAATCACGCATATGATCGATGTGTTATTGATATTTGTTTGTATCTACTATTAATAACATATTAGACCAATATACCAGACGCAATACAGGTGCGTCTGCAATATTTTATTGTAGTATACTGACAAACGAGTGCATGTATCATCGGACACGACACACGATAAAATTGAGCAAAATATTGTAATGTACATACAATCGAGCAGCTTGAATCTAGTGATATACATGTAGCACAATTAAAAAAAAGAAGACCTACACCGATGCAGTGGAGCCATCTTCCTCCTCCTGGTCATCCAAGTCCGGCTCTTCATCTTTTTTCTTGACGTAGTAGCTCCAGGGTGCGGTGGGATTTTTGGGATCTTCATTGGGGTTACCAGCTGCGCCTGGTAAGAAGGTCACAAAGAGATGCGATTACAGGCCTTAAGAAAGATCAGTTGAAATTTAAATTGAAAACGCTGGCAACTTACTGAAAATTTGGACCGATCACTTCATCTTCAACCACCGTGACATTGGTTCCTGACCTCCTGCATCATCAGTCTGCATCTCCACGTCATCCCCGCTATCGCCTGTTCCCCTCATCTTCAGGCTCGGATTCGGTTGCTGAGTCATCTGCACCCGCCAAGTTGTTACTGGTATTGAAGATGGTGGCAGGCTGTTGGCCACCGATGCGAAAAACAATAGTCTATCAAATAAAAATTAGTTTATTTTTTTTATGAGAAAAGAAAATTACCTTGAGGCCGGGAGAATCTACATTGAGATTGAAGAAGTAAGTATTGTCTACTGGAGATGGCATTTTGGATATCAATAAACACGACATCGCCGAAGACGTTTAGCGCAGTGTCGGCAGCAGTGACGTTAGACATTGGTTAATATTAAGTTGGTAAATTTAGCCACCGAACAAAGTTTTGATATTTTCGGAAATTTCCGACGGAGGTTGAATTTGATATCAACCAAACAATGATCATGATATCACCTTACTTTCGATCACATGTCGATCATATACCCTTATTTTCGATTATATGCGAGCTACTATACATCCCACTTAGATACAGGTAGGCATCCAACTCAAATGTCTCTACTGAAATTTCTAAGTTAAGATCTGCTACCGCGAGATCATCCTGCCTACTAAGGTGGATGTCATGCATGTCATTTGCGCAAACTTGCGCTTGAGACGATGAATTTTATTGCAGTAAGTTTCTAGTAATTGACCTGCCCATTGACGTGTCGTGCAGGATTTATCTCACTCGTCATGCGGCATGGATTCACAGGATACTCTGCCGGGTTTCGGTGATTCTGACCGATGATTCTCACAACATTCCCTAGTTAATGGTATGTCCGTTTTACATTTTCTATTGAGATTGGCGCTTGACTCTTACTTTCAGTTGTTAAATTATAAATGTACATTTAAAGTAGACTATGACAATATATCATGGACCGTTTAAATATGCTACTCGTAAGTTCTGAAACTGATCAAGACGCGTCCCCTCCCCTCCCCCTTCTCTGCATTTTATCCATGGTCAATGACCTTTGCTGCTTAGCCTGTGGTGCAGTGTTTCATTCGCGCAGGCAGCTGTCAGCACATACAAGCCAATGCGCACTTAGTTTCTCTCTTACTGACCAAATTTTCGATCGGAAGCGGAAGTCAGAGAAGAAGAGAAAGAGAAAGGACAAGAGGGCTCATTGTGGCGAGTCCCCCAATCACTTACCTGACGATGTTGTTATTCCAGAGCAACCGGAGGTGCAAGACATCATGTCTATCGATCAGGAATACTTTGACAATGATGTATGTATTTTATTTGCTTCATCGGTGTTTAACTGACTATAAGTAAACATTTCCTAGATTGAAATGGGTCGCCCACCATCTCCCTCACCCCCACCTGTTGTCTCCCAGCACTCTGGGCAGAGAATCCGCATGCCCGCTCGCTTTGCAGACTTCCTGCCAGGGTCCGCAACTCACCTTGCACATATGCCGCCCTCTGACCGCCAGCAACGCGGACGTCATAATGATGTCATCGTGGATCAACCTCTCCCCAAGCCTCGTACACCTTCCCCGCCGCAGTCAGAGCACGAGGACCCCTTCCCTCTCGTCCCCTTTGAAACGGAACCTGACGAAGCAGGTCTCTACCGCCTGTATCCTACCCGCCCCACCTTACTCTCCAACAATGATACCCTCGAGGATGTTACCGATGCTCCCACACTTGCTGGAGGTAACCGTATTCCCGATTTGAGTCGCATCACTGAAGGCTTGTCGTCCAAGGAGATCGGTCAGGAGGATCTCTATGCAGCTTTCTCCAATCCCACCTCCGGCCTCCTTATGGCCTATCAGTATTTTGGAACTGGTCAGCAGTCTGTCGCCGAATTGCAGCACCTCACCACTTTCATTGGTGATCTGCTATTTGATCATAGTGATGCTCTTTCATTTTCCCATACCCGGGAATCAAAAAACATTGATGCCTATTTGCAGAAATCGTCCAATCCGTTCCGCGAGGAATATGGCTGGCGCCAATCTGCCATCAAGATCAGGCTACCTAAAGAGGGTAAGAAATGGAGCGCTGAGGCTGAGGCCCCAGAACTCGAAATACCCGGAGTCTATCACCGCTCGATCACTGATATAATAGAGTCCGTTTTCAAGGATGACGTCGCGACGACCTTCAACATGACTCCTTATCGCGAGTTCTGGAAATCTCCCGATGGACGTAGCATCGAGGTGTTCTCAGAAGCATACTCCAGCCCCAAAATGATCGAGACATACACCGAGATTAACGATCTGCCTCGCAAAGCAGGAGACAACCTTGAGCGTGTTGTCGCATCTCTCATGATGTGGTCAGACGCAACTCATCTTGCGAGTTTCGGCGATGCTTCACTTTGGCCTTTCTACCTTTATTTCGGCAATCAATCAAAGTATACTCGAGGGAAACCAACCGCATCTGCGTGTCACCATGTCGCTTACATTCCTTCAGTAAGTTGTCTATTTGAAATGTACTGAGTATCTACTAACTCTAAACCGATCTTCAGTTGCCCGAAGATCTCCAAGATCAGTATATGAGTGTATTTGGCGAGCCTAGTACTAGCCAAGTTTATATGCATTGCAAACGCGAGCTAATGCAGGCTATATGGGCTCTACTGCTGGATGAGGATTTCATGCACGCCTACCAGTACGGCATGGTAATAAAATGTGGTGATGGCATCACTCGCCGAGTCTTCCCTCGTTTTTTTACATACTCAGCCGACTATCCCGAGAAGTAAGTACCTTAATTAATATCCTGACGCATGTATGTTAATGTTTCTCAGAGTTATTCTCACAGGCATCAAAAATCTCGGACGGTGCCTTTGTCCGCGCTGTCTCACAAGGAAGGACGAGGTTCCTTTGATGGGAGCAAAGGTGGATATGAAATGTCGGCTCAGATGCATGCAAAAGGACGATCGGATACACTGCCGAGAAGTCAATGACGCCCGGGCACTCATTTTTCAGTTGGGCGTGTCTGTTGATGGGACTCATGTCCAGAACATACTCAACTCGGAGTCATTGGTACCAACTCGAGTCAGTTTTTTATATTGTTTCACTCCCTACTAATAATTGATGGTATTTGATACATAGAACACATTTTCTGTGAAGTTATCACCTCACGGGTTCAACCGTTTCCATATGTTCGTGGTTGACGAACTTCACGAGTTTGAACTCGGTGTATGGAAGGCAAAATTTACTCATTTGATGCGCATTTTGCATGCGGCTGGTGGAGATTCCGTCCAGACACTGAATAGAAGGTATGTATTTTCAAATTTCTATTACATCTACTAACGGATCTTAATAGATATCGAGCTACACCGACTTTTGGTAGAGGAACCATCAGGAAGTTCAATTCCAATGCGTCGGCTATGAAACGTTTAGCTGCGAGGGATTTTGAGGATCTGCTGCAGGTAAGTGTCGGTTCCAACTTTCTTGATTTGGTTTTCAATGATCTGTATATATTTATAGTGCGCGCTTCCAGTCTTCGAGGGCTTACTGCCAGGCGACGATAATACCATGGTTTTGGACCTTCTATTGGACCTGGCAACTTGGCACGGCTTTGCAAAGTTGTGAATGCATACCGAGGACACCCTTAGGTTTTTCTATGCTGCCACAGTCACTCTGGGTCAGACAGTGCGCAAATTTTCTCGTACTACATGTAAGGTTTACGATACATCAGAACTACCCCACAAGTATGCAACACGCGGCCGACGGGAAGCTGCATTAGCTTCCAAGCTTGGAGAAGCAGACCCAAAGGGCAGGGTAGTTTCTTCCGGCCCAAAGCGGAAGAAACTTAATCTAATGACTTACAAGTATCACGCTCTGGGAGATTACCCTGATACAATCCGACAGTTTGGTACTACTGATAGCTTCAGCACACAGCCAGTAAGTTTTGATTTGATCACGTGTGTATATACCACATACTAATTAGTACTGTTTCAATTACTAGGGCGAACTTTAGCATAGGCATGTAAAACACTGGTATCTGAAAACCCCCAAAGGCAAGAAGAACACGGTCTCGAGTATGACGCGGATTGAGACGAGGGAACGACTACTAGGAAAGATTGTCAAAGCACAAGCTGCATTGGCATCAAGAGAAGGTGATGCCGGATCACAGCGCCGCCAACGTGATCGGACGTCACCAGCCGATCACTACCACATTTCCAAATACGCCAGAGCCTCGTTTGATCTCACAGAATGGCTCAGTGAACTACCGGAGGATGATCAAACAGTAGTGGTGTGTCTTTGTTTTTAAAACCTCTGGATTATTTCATTTGACATGAGGAACAGGATTTTATTCCGAGACTCAAGGATCATCTGCTCGCACATCTTCGGGGCATCGAGTACACCAGAGATGAGCTGGATTTTACTGATGAAGATCGCACACAGATTATAATTGCTAACAATAAAATCTACAAGCACAGTGTCCTCCGGATCAACTACACTACATATGACTTACGGCGAGAGCAAGATTCGCTGAACCCACGTACCCATGCCGACGTCATGGTCTTGTCGCACGAGAACGACGATGCGCGGCACCCTTATTGGTATGCACGGATCTTCCGGATCTTCCACGTCGATATTTGGGACTGCGATGACGTATCCATGGAGAAACCACACCAAATGCAATTTTTGTTGGTGCGATGGTTTGGACGCGACGCACATTACCAATCCGGTTGGTCTGCAAAATGTTTGCATCGCATTGGTTTTCTCAGAGGCGAGGACAGCGCCTTCGGTTTTCTGGATCCTGATGTCATCATTCGAGGTGTTCATCTTATTCCAGCATTTGAATCTGGCAAAACTAATGAGCTTCCTAATCCATTTGTTCGACACGGGGCAAATTTGAATGAAGATTGGCTCTATTTTTACGTAAACATGTGAGTTTAGTGTACCTATCTACTTCTAATCAATTCATTGACCCTATTCATAGGTTCGTAGATCGAGATATGTTTATGCGATACCGAGGGGGAGGTATCGGCCACACTATAACCCGCGATTCAGCGAATGGGACGAGTTCCTGCAAAGTGATGGGGCGCAGGTGATAAATGAAGAGGCAGAAGAACAGGAGGATGAAGCTGGGGAGGACGAGGGGGAGGGGGATGAGGGTGAGATTGGGGAGGAAGAGGAAGATGAGGGTGAGATCGGCGAGGACGAAGATGACAAAGAAGAAGATGATCCCGATAGGAATCTTAGTGCTGCCGTGGTCCGGTTCGGTCCGGTTCACAGAGGGTCGAGCGAGAACCAAGAACCGGACCTAGGTCCGGTTCTACCAGACTCGACGAACCTCGAACTGGACCTTGGTGAACGGTTCAGAATGGTCAGGTCCGGTCATTTTCAGGTTCGAATGTGAACCGAACCAGATTTATTTACAATGAGCAAAAAAAACATAGGTAGGACTCCTACTCATAGCTACACATCCAACAAGACAGCTGCTTCTGCCTCGACTGTCACAGAAACATGGCCATTCCTATATGCCGCCTTTAACAACTGTAGCGAGCCAAACGTGGATGACAAAGCGACAAAGAATAGAGGAAATACTCTGCATGTATAGTGTCATAGAAGACTCGCGACTCTTCAATCCAAAGGGACGGAGTCAAACACCATAGTTGTGCATATATAGGATCAACTTACCTGAGAAGACCCTCCAGCGGCATGGCATTCACTTTCAGAGGAGCAACGACGATCTCAGCCGAGTTTCAGCGTATAGTCAAGCCAGTACCATTTCTCAAATTCGTCATCTAGCCACGGTGGTTGGACATCTCGAGGTGAATGAAAGTTAATATCAGCTATAAGACCGTTGAAACACTGATTGAAACAAAAAAAATAAGAATTTAGTTGTGGTATAATTTTAGTACAGCTCACTCGAGGACACTCCGGCATTTTCCCATCATTGATAGAACAACTATACTCATGAGCTAGGGATAGTGTCGGACTCCTGTGAACAAAAATCCAATTAGTGTATAAGAGCATGGTGAAGAGCAGACGCACCTTCTTGTTGGAAATAAACCCTCCCCACTTCACCACGGGCACTCATTAAATGTCGTACTTTTACAGGACGCATGCCAGGAGGTATTCGTGAGATGTAGATTACGCCAGTGCGGGCTTGCGCAGCATTGAATGTTGCCAGCGCCTCAGGCGTCAAAGGCTGCTCGAACGAGGATCGACACTCACGAACTGCGAATGGTGGGCAATGATTTGGATCGGTGGGAGAGTTAGCACGAGAGAACGGGCACAAGAGGACAGGTACGAGAGAGCAAGCATGAGAAAACGGGCGCAAGATAGTGAGCACAAGCGAAAGAGTTAGAGCGTGCATCAAATTAATTGAAGATGAAGTCACTCACCTGACACCTCAAACTCAGTGGTTTTGGTTGCCTTGGTCTTTGTCGGCGCGTTGACTTTAGGGGTGGAGGCGGTGGTTTCGCGGGAGTGGGACGATGGGTTTGTGGGAGGAGTTGCACAATGAGACGTGTGGTCTGATTCGTCAGTTTGAATAGTGCATATCATGACTTACCTTGTCAATAGGCCTCTGCATTTGATGGAAACAAGTAAATCTTGAAGCTTGAGAATCTCTGAGGCCGAAGTGGATCATCAAAGGAAGGTGTCAAGGCGCGCTTCAACAATGTGGCAAGCTTCTTTCGGTTCGCGGTTCGGAACGGTTCGGGACCGGTCCGAACCAAAGTCGAACCGTTCGCCCAATGGCAGAACCGAGAACCGTACTATGGTCCGGTTCTGGCTGACATCTGGACCGTGGACCGAACCACAGGAGAACCGGACCAAAAGTCCGGTTCGAACCATGGTTCAGGACCAGACCACGGCAGCACTAGATAGGATAGAAGCGGACGAGGGAGAAGAGTTAGATGATGATTTTCTGATAGCGGAAGGCTACGGCGCTCTGTAATTTGATATTCTAGGTTTTCATGTTTAATTTGTGGTGTGACCCGTTATTAATTCACCATGTTCAATCTTGGAGCTCATTATTGGGAGGCCGCAGAGTGCATTTGTTTCTATTGCGCATATATGCATTTATAACTGTAGCGAGGTACATATAATAGTACTACCACCTTATAACTACGATATAATGTTGCTACCACTGTGTTTGAGCTGCGCCAAAGGTTATGTAAGGGTGGCGACGTGTTTATAATGTGTAATGTTTGTATGACGCACGCATACATGCGTCATAATACTCGAACGTTTTCACAATTCCTAATCAGGTAATGTTACGTGTTGTGACATTTGAAGAGTTTTGCTGATGCAGGACGGCAAGCCCAGGCCTAAGCGCTCAGCCTTGCTTATGCTTTTCTCAATTGACAGGCGACAGTCAGTCTGTGCACGGACATGTGTGCAGTACATTACAAGGAGGTTAGCCTCTGACTGGCTTTCAATGATCACCATCCTGACACGTGCACTTTCAGTGTTCAAGTTGCTGCACTGCAGTGCAATGCGATGTAAATCAGCGCTGCACAGGATAGATATGAATGCTGTGGTCATAAGCGAAATATATTTAATCTACATGTCTATAATGCATGGGCCTTCCTGTCTCTGCATCCCATGGCTTCTTCCAATACGACAGAAGAAAATTGGAATCCATCCAGCCTTCTTCTACATAACGCACTCCCGGATCACCAGGACTTTGACTCGACAATATCTGATGCGAAGCCCACTGCTGATACTAGAACCAATTTCTACGACCGAAGTTTGACGAGTCGCAGATATGCCCTTGTCGGAATGGCATGTTCAAGTATCTTCAGCTGCTTATGCATCATTACAGGTATTGTCACTGTAGCCAGCCACGGAATCATGGGAGTAACCCCACTCAGCATAGTCAATCCTTTTGAAGTTCCTCGATCGTCGCTGCAGGCGGAAATATGGACCCTGATGCTTGACTTAATGGTCACATTATGTACCGAGTCTATAGGCTTCGTACATGGCATCTCATTACGCTCCGCGTTAGCATCAGAGTCTCGGCTTCGTTTCAACACCAATTTGCGCCTTCTCACCGCAGCTTGTGGATGGCACAACCCTAATGGCACCCTGCTTAACGGTATATCGTCTGTCCTCCTCATTATATCCTACAGCTCGCCCTCACTCATCGTATGTGCGGACCAGCAAGTTCAATACCGCTTGGATGTAACCATACTAGGCAGCACGAGCATCGCCCTCGCCGGGTTACCTCTCCTCATTTTAGGTGTCGCACTCCTCCTCCAGGTGATGATCGCATTGTCAGCGATGCGGGCTGTCAAGATCTTGACATGGAGCTCCTCACCTTTCGACTTGACCGCCGCACTCATCCACCACACGCAATTGACCCCTACTACTTTCCGGTGCATGCATCGTGTGTCTGACCTAGACACATATGGGGGTCCAGCGAAGCCATCAGAGAAACAGCCCTCTGCGTGGCATGCTCACCCTAGCATCCGGAAAGTTGTCGTTTTTCTTTGGGTCATCGTTGCAGCATGCGCTGGATGGGCCGCACTCGTCATGTATCTCCGGGATCGCCTTTTTATCTACATCAATCCTCTAACCCTACAAACATGGTCGTTCTTCCAAAATTCTGACGGCAATTACATTACATATGGTGTACCGAGTGGCGGGATTGAGTGGTGGATTCTGCTCTTTGTCATCATTGCAGGAGTCCAGGGACCGTTGACACTTGGGCTGCATTGCTCGGAGCTCATAGTGAATGTCATTCGAGACGAAAGACAGTGGAGATGTGCTACCAAAAGGCAAGGACTTGGAGTAGCGACGAACCCGCTGAAGCCAATTTTCACTCATCCGCTTTGTCTCGTACTTTTTATCGCAAAGCCTTTCCTGCGTGAGTCATTCACGCCTAGTATTTTGTTGTCAGTGTTATTGAACACCGATCACAGACTGGATGTTTGGGCTTTCATTCGACATATCCACAGCTGCCTATAACGACACCCTAAACAAATTTGAGATATATATGTACACTGCCCAGGTTCGTACTTACTGTATGTAAAATTGTTACAACATGCTCACACATTCTTACAGATCTGGAACTTGTGCATTGCGCTCTTCATACTTGCCTGTTTCTTTACTTTCATCTCACTGTGCCGACCGCACGGTCCCCAGCCGGCTGCATATGGCCACCTTCAGACGCTCGCCAACCTCGTGGATGAGTGGTCTCCTGTGATGTGGTGGGGACACAAGGAGGATGGAATCCCGTACTGTCATGCTGGTAGGATACTTGCATGTTCACGATGATGTCGCATTGACACTTTTGAAAAGGGACAAGCGATCACCCGCTGCCGGATGTGAAGATGGACTGCGTTTATGCTGGTGCCTGACAGTGACTCAGCGGTCTTCGTTTTTATCTCTGGAACTAATACAGATGAGGGGATATTGTATGTTGGATGTTTGGTTACAATTGAGAGGACAGGTATTGCTATGTTGTGCACTTGATCTCCGGATAACCTACAAAAGGCTTGTCTAGAGGTGCGCAACCTTCCAGGTTGGCTCATCTACAGAAGGCTGGCCAGCTTGGGAAACACATGAAATGTGGAAACACAAGCGAAAATTGGAAGTCAGGGACCGGTGATACTGAACGTTGAACGTTGAACACCGATCTGACATTGAAAATCTCTCGGGAAGTCAAAGTGTAAGTACGCTATGCAATGTGCATACGTTTTAATTTGAAAATATCTCGCGATTCACCCAGTGTCAGGGTTGCCAAGAAAATTCTGTCCCAGTGTCGCGTTGATACATTTTGAATCTTCATGTCTTGCAGGATGGAAGGCACCTGTATCACGCACAACATTCAGTCGAACCATGAGCTTCATACTGACGTCGTCGATGTGTGGAACTTCCATGACCCTCATCGTGTAATGGCTATGTCATTTGTCGTTGTTGCACTCGTCCTAACGTGATTTGTGCATAGTACTTGCTCAGCCTAGAGTTCAGGGAATTGATGATAAAAATGGTCGAAGTTGGATCTACAAAAGGATATCAACGCTTCTCTCTCGGCCACTCGGTGCTTCAGTGCTTCATGTCCTACATCGTCGACTTAACACTTGTGTTGCAGACGCTTTATCTCGTGTCAGAAAGCCATGAAGTCACTCGTAGGGCCATCAACTTGCTCGCAGTCAAATCCTATATCGCCTCCCCAATGGGGGAAGAAGTTCGTATTCGGATTCAGGACCACGATAGGCAATTGACCATCCTGGAACGCGTGGATCGCAATACCTTGAACAAACTCGCTGAGGTGATGGAATTTTATAGCATTGATGCAGCACAAGTGTCCGAACTTCGGGAAAAGATTCCCCCTATGGATTTATTATCGGACGAACCATGATCTCATGCCCTTCTCTTCTTCCTAGCATTTGTGGCTCACGTTACAAAGAGGGTATATTACTAGCTTGTTCGCTGCACGGATGCTGACGATACCGAACGAGGAAGAGACCAAGGCTCAGTTTAAGGCTATATTTGGCGGTCTAGCATTTGCCTTATCCTACGGCTTGCTCATACGAGCATGCGCGAATCTCGCCGTGAAGTCCACCGACCTAGTCTCTTCCCCAATTCGCAAGGGAGGTGTTGCTGTTTTCATCAACAAGATTTCACGATTACCGGCACTGTGCGACTGCCTCGCTGGAAGACAGGGGTCGTTGACGAGAGTGCTCGACACTCTCGCCATGACAGTTGGGTTGACTAGTTTTCTTTGGAAGTGGCATAATGCCCTTGCGTATTGCAAGTGATCAAGGTATGTAATCATTTACGATGCTCATTTTGCGAATAGCGAACTGTAGGCAGTAGGTGATCTTGGTTGAGACCGCAGCCATGAATCTAATATCCATATAGATGGAAGCGTGTTCTGACTGCCTTAAGGTTTTTCACGGACCTCAAATTTCTTCCTCCATATTTTGATCTACCAGCTGATCAACTTCTAGCGTATTCAACTCTGCCACTTCCAGTAGAGAATCCGTATATCAAGCGACACGTCGCTGAAGACCGTCCTCCCTACTGTGCACTTAAAGAGTCATCGGATGGATGGACGCCGGTGTGAAGCTAAACAAGCTGATATTCGTGTATTTTGATACGTGGATCCGTGAGCGTCTCGTACATTTCTTGATTGTCTAATGTATTTGCCTTGAAGAGGCTTGATCGCTCGAAATTCTGAAAGCATGTTATTGAGAACAAATCAATCTCATCCAAGCGCGACCCAGCCACACAACTCCATCCTCTGACTGATCTCCGTGGGCATCCGCAACACCATCTCCTTATGCAGTTCATTGGCCCTACAGCTCTCTGAACAAAGCACAAACCTCCCAAGTCCTCCCTCCCGTCCTGCGAAGATGCATACCGTCGGCGGTCGCTCAGCACGGAAATAGTACATGGTTGACGAATATGTGTCGATGAGCGTGAACATATGTCCCGGTCCACTCTTCGCTTGTTCCTTCGCATCCTCATATTGCTCGTCTGAGCCTATCCGTCTCGAGAATTGTTCCGGTTTTGAGAACAGTGAACCGCTCGGAGTGAAATACATCCTTGGGAAGTGTGCAATGGTACCCCCGTATAAGTGACTCTCTACCGTTTCTCTATCAACCACTCCTTTGACCCCGATCAACCACGGTTGTTTGTTGATTATACGCCCAGATTTGCTATAGAGAAACAGTCGAGGGGAAAAAAGCAGGAGGAGGAGTCCAATGCCAATGAGTACGAAGCCTGCTACTTTGCTGGTATTCGGCATAATCCCTAAACCAATGACAATGAACGGCCAGGAGAAATACGGTATGGAACCGACAATCTTCCTCCTCAATGAAAAGGTGGTTGCAAATGGGACCTCCGGGAAGTCCTTCCATCTGATGGCTGCCACCCGACAGCCATCCAAAACGAGAGCTCCGTTCTCTGTTACACCAGCGACCTGGATCTCCGGAAGAATATCCCAGAGATTTGCGTCGTAGATATCATTGTCAGCGTACCAGCACGCCCCTGGGGTGGTGGTTGAGGGAAACATGGACACCATGCGATCAGCGATGCGGTCGTTATCGTTGGCCATTGACAACCTCGCGAGTGCGCGTAACTCATCCTCATCGTGGTTCGGCTGAATACGGTGCTCAAAAAAGCCCATGAGCGCATAAACGTGCTCTGCTTTGTGTGGCTTATACCCCTCGCCGGTGATAGACCCCCCACCTACCATGCCCGACTTTGGTGGGGGAGGAGGAGGGCCAGAAAGTGTTGGAAAACCTGCCATAGCGCGCCTCCATATAGCTTTTTTCAAGAGTGTTAAGCGCTCCAGCCTCTCAAGCGGATCCTTCCCACCGGCGTATGCATTGACAATTGCTTGTTCATCTTCGGAGTTCGTATATGCCAGGTTAGCCAGCTGAAACAGCGACAATGACTCGATCTCTTCCCGATCCCGGAACTTGTAACAAAGCCGAGAGCTCAGGAGGGCTTCTGGAAAAGTCCATACCCGTCCGCCCCAGCTCCTCCAACACTCATTCTCTCCAGCCTGAGAGTCAGCTCTCCCGAGCATGATCAAAGTCGTCTCCGCTCTACGGTAGACGTCTGACATGCAGTAAACATCTAGATTCTCCTCTGATGGGGTCTCCCCTAGACACTCCAAGTTGAGCCAGTAGGCATCAAATTGCTGTCCGAGCACCGCCGCACGAACCTCGTCTGTAAACCGTGCCTTTTCTTTCTTCTCACCCGAGCCTCGAGAGTAGACGTCGGTGGCGCGGTAAGAGATGGCGATGTATTTAGTGTGGATGATGATATCGCGATCTACGCATCGAACCCACTCACTCTGGTTTGGGCTGCGGATCATGAGAATTCGAGGGTAACAGGCATGCGTACGAGTATTCATATCAGCTTCCTCTTTAACGCGCGATGAATGCTCCATGCGAGAACGAGCTGCCCATAGCTGACCCTGAAACTGCCGAAGATACGGTTTGTAGTATCCTGCATTATACGGCGAATCAGTATCATCTTCAGAATCATCACTAGCGTTGAGATAAAGTGCCACGAGAAACCAGATGATTGGCCACAATAGCTTCAGTGCAAACCACACTGATTTTCCGATCCATTCGAAAATGATCCATCCTTTGAAGGGGGAATGGGTTAGCAGCCATATGGCGAGCTTGCTGGTATCGTTGGCGTGATCCTTGAGGGGAACTTCGAATTTGCCAGAGGGTGTGACGGCTTGCACGATGAGCCTTCGACAGATGCCAGTGGTAGGACTGATGTATCTCTGCTCTTGACCGTGCGTTGTCAATATTCCTATATCATTGGAGCAAGTGATGTCTGAGTCATGATTCGTGAGTGGGATCCAGTGCATCGTAACTGTTCCTGTGAAAGCGTCGGTGTGATGATGAGTGCGAAGACTACAGGACTTCGAGTTATGAACTAGACTCACAGTGAGCAGAGTATCACAAGCAGGGTGACAGCGATGCCCCAGTGTTACCTTTATAGTATATTTCAGGTACTGTAACTCTGTGGATGTGTATGTCGCGCATGACATATACCGCCATGGCAGTTGCAGAGTTAGAAATTTCGTCTAATTGGACCTTGAGATCCAGAATAAGATACCGCCCAGCGGCGTCTTCTTGAAATGCCTATAATGATGTCGGAGTCACATGGCTCTGAGAGACCTAGTTCAGACATTCTTGGGCGCAATTTTTATATCTATAACATACCTACACTAAGAGTGTTGTTGGCCGTCCTGCCATTCGCCGTGACAGAATTTGAAAAACCCTCATGGTGCTGGGGAGACCGGGCGGAGCCTAGTGGAACATGCACATAAGTTGCGTCCGCAGTATCAAATATTTCATCCTCACAAACCATGACAGCGTCAATCAGTGCATCAGCACTTCAACGGTGATGCGAACTTTTAGAAATGAAAGATAGCCTATTCCGAAATAGTGTCCGACAAAGGGTGTATATAACGACCCAAAAGGACTACACGAGTTGGCAAGAGCGTACTAACAGTACGAACTACAAATGCTCACCTCAGCGATGATGTTAGGACGACGTTGAGGTGGAAACGGCGCCATGATAGGTAACTATGCGAATCTGTGGCTGAGCGCTGAGTGTTGATACTGTATAGCACACACATGGCACTCCCAGTCATTATGCGCTCATTAGCATAGCCCCGCCTAGCTTGACTCGGAACGTGCTGGATTGAGAGATAACTTGTGATGCGAGGCAGGTAATGTATCTCTCCGGTATGAGGAAACTGAACCCCCACGAATTGCGTAGTTAGGAGAGAAATGAACGTTCGCAATGCTGTGGAGCTCAGAAGGTATGCGTTGGAAAAAAGTAGAGCACAATTGCAAAAGGAGGAGCCTATAGACTCCCGGAGACGCGAAGAATGCATCGGATCTGTATTATGTGGCCAAATTAAAGTTTTCATTTCATTTCTGGAACGTTCAGCGCTCAGCGATGATGCGCCCACTGGCACAGCCTCGCTGCAGCACCTTGGCCTAGGTTGACTCCATAGACGAATAATGCAGGCGGACTGATAAAGTGATAGCGAATGTTTTATTTGGAGTTGGAGTTACGCTGGGCAATAGGCTATGTGCTGTCTTGTTGGCAGGTTATATCCTGACTGGTGAACATAGGCTCGTGATCACTGATTTACTACCAAACCATGGGATTCTTTCGCAGGGAGGAGATAGTCGTCTGAATCTGATCTTCGGACAAAGATGGAAGTGTACGTGGAGGAGTGGCGTAAACGGTAAGAAGTAATATAGGCCGGAAGACAGCTGTTGAACTCGGAAGGTTGTCCGACCCAGTCGATGACGGTGATGTCCCCCGACCGAGCCACGGTCTCCTGCAAGAGTCGCCCGAGCGCGTTCTGCTTCTTCTCGCCATAAATGACAGGTAGGTGGGCACCGAAGATACCAAACAATGAGTCCGCGACGTCTTCTTGCAATGTGGTGACGCGAGATGACGCCCACTGAAGTCTCTGTCAAGCGTCGCTCATCCCAGGACGAAAGGAGATCAGGTCCCGTGTATCTATTCCTATTGCATCCTCTAACTCCTGCATGATTACGGGGGACTCTTTGTGGTTGGGAGAGCGATCGCCCAGATATAATGACCAATCATTTTGATAGAAGATAACAACTTTCGAAGCGACGAAATCTTGAAAGGTCCATCCCCGCTTGTTCCAAACACTCCTCGCCAGTGCACCGGGTTGGGATGAAGGAGAGACATCGCAGAGGTGGACGATGGCAAGCGCTGAATGACGATAAGAGTTGACCGATTCTTGAAGCTCGGTGTTGCTCTTCTTGTCAATGCAGCATGTGTCCATACAAGCTCAGCGATATCCAGCACCACGAGCGACATTGCAGAGCGACTGCAGTTTCGCGATCCCAGCAAATCCCTTTAACTCACGCACATATTTATCTTGAATGTCGTGCAGTAGCGCCTCCATCTTCTCCCACCTGTGTGATAACAGGACGCAACGGAAGTACGTTGCCACTACATCTTTGATGCGCTCTGCTCGGAGATTCGAATCCTTCGTTGGAAATGAGACAAGCTCGTTGTACTCTGGACTCATTTTGAAGGCGTTTATTTGTACCATCTATCGCACAAAATACCCGTGGAGGTATTCAGTAGACGTAGCGGGGCACATTCGAGTTCAATCCGAACAACTCTTTGAATGGCGTCTTCTGCTTCCGATGGAGAGACATACTGCTGACGCAGATCTACAGAACGAGATAGGCATTTCGAGATCATACAGAAGTTTCCCATGGCTTACCTCGTATCTGAGCTTCGGGAGAATCGTCCAACTTGGACAACATAATTTTGAAGGCCTCAATAGCTTCGTCGTAACGTTGCGCGCCACGCAGCGCTGTATGCATCAACTCGTATCCAACGTGAGACGAAGGATTGAATTCGATGACCTATGCATCACCGAAGTCAACACGAGCTATGGAAACATAGATGCCATCGCACCTTTCGCGCATCGAGATTCGAGAAGTGCTTCTGTCCATAGCATTTTTGCCAACCTTCGCCCTGTCATAATCGCTTGCAGCGAGGGCAGTATCACCATTGGCAAGACAGAGCGCGCTGTATTCTTCCGTGAAAGCTGAGTCAAATGTGGGTGAGAATTGTAGCCTGGGCGATATTATGAACTCCAGACTTACCATTGGACCACTCAAGGTATTTGGCCTTGATCACCATTTTCATTACTCAAAATTGGCATGATCTCACGGCATCTGGAAGTTTACGTGCCCGAAGGAGTGCAACACAACGTTTATGGTGTGCAGTGAGCCACAACAATTTAAGATCCCAACCGAAGAGCTGAACAAGAGACCTGGTTATGAAAAGCGTAATACGTATCGAATATTCAATGTCACATTGACGTGTAACTTTGGAAGCAATCACGTGATCGCATAAGTTTCAACATCACCCAAGTTTATTACTAATTAGAGCACTTAAGGTGAAATCATCCATGCCAATCGACCTTGTCTCGCACAGCAATGATCGATGTATCTTAAGCTTGTCCGACGGCAAGCCGCGTACACGCCAATTTCTGCTTCAAGAAGCAAGTCATGCGCTACCTGCATTCGCAACGTGACTAGTGCATCTGCAAGAGCGTACTAGTATGCCAGCTCACCCTTCACGACGCGATTCTCTCGATGACGAAATTTGATGAGGCAGATACAAAAGCCTGATCGTGAAGGCCGGGGTCCGGTGTCCGGTAATCGTTAGCGCTGAGGTTCTGGCTAGTTTTTGTTTTTCTTCTTGCCAAGGCCCAACACCCATGGTGAATTTTACTATCCTCGCAGGAGGATACACCTCCTTCATCGCCTCGTATATGTTCAATAGCGAGACGAACAATTTGACATACTTGAACCAGTACATCACTGGCGGCAATCCAACTTGGATAATCTCGCACCCTACGAACAAGAGTGTTCTTTAGTACGTGTCCTCCTATTGTGTTAGTATATGCGCGTGTTCACTGATGTATTTGATTGATCACGTAGTGCAGTCAATGAGAATGAGCCTACAGGCGCACTACAATCATTCACGGTCGGGCCTGAAGGAGCACTCACCCTCGTCGAAACTGCGTACTCTGGAGGAAGTGGCCCGCCGTATTGTAGCGGTCTCTCTACGGGTCAGGTAGCCATAGTCAATGTACACCACATTTTTTTCTTTTTCTCAAGTCAATGCTGAATTTATAACAGTACGGCTCCGGAACTGCGCGTGTGATCCCCACAACAGATCCGCTGCATTTCTCTGCCGATGATAGCACCATTGTGACATTCCCTGTCCCAACCACTGGAACGCAGGGCGCGTCCGAACCACACATGGTATACCAATACGGCGAGGAGCTCTTGATCCCTGACAAGGTATTTTTTTGGGAACTTTCATCTGTGATTTGTGGCCTTTTTACTCACCACGAGCGGCTGTTTAAAGGGCAACGACAAAATTTGGCGTCTCGGCCAGAACGGGTCACCAGATGACTTCTCAGTACACGGTCAAATCGCGCAGCCGATCGGTAGCGGCCCACGGCACATCCAGATCTACGGTAAGCCCATCTTCTTTCACCTTCTCTCTCACTAAGCCAGCATACAGAGAACCAGCTCTACACAATCCATGAGCTCGCAAGTACCTTGACACTCCAAGACTTCCCGGCATACCCCAACTTCTCCACTCCCCTAATCTCCAACGTTTCCACTGTCCCAAATTATCAGCCCGCAGGCTCCAGCTTCGCAGCTGCCGAAGTCCTTATCCCACTTCCAACAGCCGAGTTCCCCACCCCTTACATCTATACCTCGAACCGCAACACTGGTGTACAGGACTCACGTGGGGATACGATCGCCATTTTCGAGAAAGTGGATAACCAGCTGGTCCTAAGGAACCAGGTATACACGGGCCTGAACCAGATTCGCGGCATGATGCATGGGCAGCAAGCCGGCGAGGGAGGTGATGCATATATTGTGGCCGCCGGGTTTGCGGGCACTGCGGGCGTCAAGGTGTACAAGCGAACGGAGGGAGGAGCGAATTTGGAGGAGGTTGCAGTGAATACAAAGCTTCCGACGCGGACGAGCTTCGTATGGTTGAAACAATAGAGGATAAGATTCATTCGGTGTTAATGCAGACAGTCTGCTGTCTAATCGAGGCACGATGCAAACACAACTAACGATGACTTGAATGTTGAGAGAAATAACTTTTGGTGAGTACCAATACACAAATTGGTACTAGATAACACCTTGGGAAAAAGACGAGCACGACATTAGTTTAGCGCTTGTATGTTATGGCACTGCAGTGTATCTAGAACGAACGACTACGTATTTCATTCGTCAATGGTCTGTCTATCCATCCTGTCAGGGCCACTAAAACTCTTCATAAGCACTGAATTTTGGTGCTATATATTGAGTTGAAATGCATTCAACGCCCTCAGGCAATTCAGATACTCGACTATCATTCATCGCAAATATTGTCTTGCCACATGAGGTGTAATGCTAGTGTTGTGCAACTTCATTCCTACTCACAAATCATCAGCTTGAGTAGGAGCGATCATCTCTGGCACCGAGGCAACAAATTGGAAATACAAAATGGGGTGTACATATCGTGTAGATATACATACAGTCTCGAAGTCTGGAATATCAAAGTTCTTGGCAACAAGTTGCGCATGGCCGCCATGACTGGATGCTGCATGCGAAGTGCGTCAGATTGTCTCAAGAATGCTTTAATGAACAGAATGGGAGGACACAAAATGAATATGGAAGCTTACATAAGTAAGATAACGAGAAATAACTCTGCTATGCGCTCAAGTCAACCAGAATTGTCTTCCAACATCAGTGTCTTCTTGGTTGATGTGTTTGCTGCACTGCACGCTGGTATAAAATACACATGCATGCTTCCAGGTCTTAGTCAGGCTGGGCGTGAAATTGGTACTATGGTATGCGCACTCTGCGATTCATGAGCAAGTTCGCCGCAAGAGCTGGACCTGCTCGTCCTTGCTCAGCCCCATGCGACCTCTCCAACGGCGAGGACAACTTTCGTCAATGTTGCGCGGGCGTACTGGTAATGCCAGAATATCTGGAACATCCTCGGGTTCTACTTCACCTAGTAGCCTGTATGATAAACGCATGCGCAACTTTAGCATACAATTAGAAGGCTTCAAACACCATTCTCCGTGCGGGTACACAAGGAGATTTGCTGCATATCTAGAATGGTGTATGAGCGCTTGAGCGACCAGACTTGGCGAAATGGATGTGACGTGTGCATACTTGTATCCTCCGACATGTGCCACTTCTGCAAGCTTAATGCAAGTACTGGGATCACTTGTATTGGCATCTCTGCACTTGCGGAGCTCATCCATTATGGCCTGGTCAATTACTCCCCAATGTCTCCGCACCGACAATCTCGTGCACCAGCCTGAGTGCACCTTAGGAGCGATCACAGACAAATTGGGAATACAAATTGTCGAAATTGGATGTACATATCGTGTAGGTATACAGTCTAGAATATCGAAGTCCTTCAAGTTGGCAACAAGTTGTGAATGGCATGACTGGATGCTACATGCGAAGTCGTCAGATTGTCTCAAGAATGCTTTAATCAGTAAGGTGGGAGGACGCACGGAATTCATCATATGCCAATATGCACAAATACTATGTGCTGGTCCAAGGGTATGTCCGTGTCACAAGCCAAAGACTGGACCGCTCGGTGCAGTGCCCGGGCGGCGCGTTTTGAATTCATCGTGCCATCCCCACAAAAGTTTTTGTAGAACGCTTCGACTAAGCGCTGCATGGTACTGTCATTGACCTTCCATAATGTCCCAACGACACTCTTAACCCCGGCGAATTGCAGGCCAGCTGCCAGATGTATCACTTCGTCGGGTGTACTCAAGACACCGACTGCGGTTTCACAGGCAGAAAGAAATGCAAATTGATGTCGAGACAGATCCGTTTGTGTGATGTCGTGGAGCGTACATCAGGAAAAAAACCTTTGACTACAGGGTGCTATATAGTCATTATAGTACCTGTAGCCAGATTTGTCAAGTGTCTACTATGTGGAGCTATATAGCCACGCAGCGAACTATATAGTGCTACGGCCACTCCTGTAGCTCGTTGTAGCAACCAACTACAGGTGCTACAGAATGCTATATGTGCTACAAATTACTACAGGGTGCTATAGGAATAGTGTTAGTATTTGCTCGTTCGAGCTACAGGTAGCTACAGGTAGCTACACACTGCTACTGTAGCTCCCACAATATAGATCAGGCCACTGACTGGAAATCAACAAAATCGAATCAATTAAGGTGCTATAGTAGCGCGTGAGCATGTATACAATCCTCGAGATACAGCCGCCTCAATCACCACCCCCTTCAGAATTCTTGTGCTTCTCGAGCCTCGTCTTCGTGCTCTCGAATAGCTTCATCAAAAACGTCATCTGTGAAGCTATTGATAGTCACTGCCACCATGAATGGATCCACACCAGCGTGCATCCTTTTTATGAATGTCAGTTTGGATGATGAATGACATAAGTAATAAAAAAATACCGAGCGACGTCGAGAAGATTGACACCAATTTTACCGAGCAGTTTGTAAGCAGCAGTCCGCTCGTCGAACCGCCGCAGGGAGTTGAGATGGAGAAGGTAGACCGGGGAGTAAGCAAGCGATGAAAATTTGATGTCCTCCTTTACTCCAGTCATCCACTCGTCGATGCAGCATTCAATCTGTCAGACCTCAGTTGCAGTACGAACATCAGAATCACTGAATACACTCACTGCTGTGAGTATAAGCGCAATGGTTTGAACGGGTAAAGGATCGAAGTATTTAGCATATACTATACCCTCGTCACTTCGGTTTGCGAACCACATATCATTCATCGCCTCCTGGATTAATCCGGTCTTGTATATGCCACATTTCATTTCCCAGTCCTTTTACTCCACCAGTCAGACATTGACTAATGATGGTAAAATTGAATTTAAACACGCACCTTAAAAACAAAACGCGATCCTTCCTTGAGAGACTCAGCCAGGTCACGGTTTTGCTTGATGGCGGGTATAGATCTGCTTGCACGGAAGCCAAAGAACGAGGCCGTCAGTGGGCGCATCTTTGTTTTAAGCTCCCCGCGCACTTGTGATGTGCGCCTCGTCATCTATATGCAACATAAAATCAAGTAGGGCAAGGACGCGGACACGAGACGTACCATTTTGACAAGAGAAGGGGTCAGTTGGATGGTAAGCTCTGCCATGTTAGACGCCTCACGCCAGGCATCCTTTGCTAGCTTGGTCTCAATGATCAGTGTCTCTGGAAAAGGTGCGCGAGTCACGACTAGACAGCGGTAGATAGACGTGGCAGTGGTGAGCAAATCCTTGGTGACGTTGTCGAAATCGCTGGCCTTTAACCGTTGGCGTGTTCCGTCTGGACCTTTATTGAACTTCATGTCAGTATTGAGGACCTCCGAGTCCTCCAGTTTGTGCTTGGTGCCGACAACCAGTGGTGAAGAAGCTTCGGCCACTTCGTCATGATCATCGGGAGTGTTGTCCGCGCCACAATCAGACTCGTTCTCAGTGTCGTCCTGGTCCATGCTATCGACAAAGTTGTTCGAATCGTTGCTGTCGCTGCTGCCCTCACTGTCACTGTCGTTGTGCAAAGACACAACAGTTGTGGATGCTGAAAAAGTGTGTTAGTTCAAGATACACACAGGACAAGACATAGTACCTTTCTGTGGCTTTGTATGGATCTTACTCGTGGGTTTTCGGGCCAAGACAGTTGGAGGGGTCTTGCTCATACTGTATGTGAGCGCCTGTTGATTAGGTAGTCTTGTAGGTACACTGCGGTCCGAAAACTATTATGTAGTTGTGAGTAACATGGAGCGCCTGGACAAATAAGACACTGACCATGTTGTCTTCGTCCCTGTCAGCATCGCTGAGAAGCCCAGCAGGCTCGCTGTCGAATACCTCGGGATGTGTCCGGTATGTAGTGCGCAGTGCCTTTAAGTCGCGCTTCTTCATCTTTGTTTCTAAGGCTTTTTGGCGTTCTTCTCCTCAATGAGCTTTTAAAACTGTTGAGCAGAAACATGTAAGTGAGCGCGAGCATTCATGTTGGGCTTGATATAACTTACTTCGATATGTTTCTTTTTCAGTTGGCCGACGTTGCCGACCACTTGCGGTGCGTCCCGCGGTCGACACCATCTCTGCACGTAGGTTCTCCTGGGCCTTCAAAAGTGCTGTTTTACCTCCCTTTTTGGAGGGGGCTTTTGCGGGCATGATAGACGGTAGTCAGTAGAAATAACGATGACAGAAGGAGGGGGTATGCATGCCTTTAAAAACCCTACAGTGGTGTCGAATCAACAAACAATTTTTGAGTTTTGTTGATCGAGTTTTGTTGATCACGAAGTTAAAGTTTTCAACTGACCAAGCGGTGTCAATATATTGGCATAAATAAGAGGGACGGGGATGACTTTCCTTTCAAACATACAATCAATACTACAGCGAAATCAATACTACAGCCAAAATGAATAAATTGTAAGTGGCTGCCTTCTCCAATGCTCGCCTCACACTCACCGATGTTGTAGTTCAGCGTTCATGTCGTTGAACGAATCAGACAACGTGAAGCCGAACATCTTGTTATTGAACAGAGCTGAAGAGAAACCGAACACGCTTGAAGTCAGCAAAAGGTGATACTCGACCATAAACCATGACAAACACTAACCAACCATCAGGCCCGTACCTCCTCCAAGTCAACCATTTCACGTGGTCGTTGCTCCAGGACGGGCTAGGGAGGTACCTCATACACCAAGGGAGGTTAAGCCTGCTCTTGATATTCAGTTTCCATTGGCGCCATATCGCCAAACTCCAGGACCCATCAAAACCTCACAGACCTACCTGCGAACACTTGTCCTAGAGCACTGGGATGCAGAGATTAGGCTTTGTGATGAGTCATGCAGAGCGCAGCTCTCAGAGCACATACAAGGTCCTGTTGCTCACCAAAATTTGGTGCGGGAGATGATAACGGTGCGATGGAATGCTGAAAAAAAGCGGTGTGAGGAGTCACGCAAGGTTCAACTTTTGGAGCTCTTACTTGCGGCTCATGGCATTACTACCCTAGCTTAGTTGTCAGTTAGTTTTAGTCAAGTGTCATTCGGAATAAGGGTGCACCGTGTGGATCACCTTTATTTTCAACGATGTTCGGGTCAATCTCCATATTATGAACTGCGTCCGTGACAGTAGTTGGTCACTTGCAAGGGTCACATCGCTGCAAACGACTTTCGTGTTAGTCACAATTAGGGCCGGTATGAGGACTCACTTGAGGGTCGGCCTGGTCTAAACTCAAACTGGGCGCAGCAGTAACCAGGCGCTGCGCCACAACTAGATCCGGGCACCAATGAGGCGAGTACCATAGGTAGATTGAAGATGCTTACATGTATGCCAGTCGAATGGCAGTAGCACTTCAAGGTCATGAAACTTCGAATATAGTCCGATTTTGGTCTCCGCAAGTCCAAGAAGGAGGACCTTCTGGAACGCGGTTTGTGTATGCCAGTCGAATGGCGGTAGGTCATGGAACTTCGAATATAGTCCGATTTTATGGAACTTTGAATATAGTCCGATTTTGGTCTCCGTTTGAGCCTGGACAGGATAGTGTTAGCATGTTTTTTCCATTTTTTGTGGCATCAAGATACTTAGGGCCGGCACAACACGACTTGACACGAGTTTCGTGTCAATCGCACCGTCAATTGCACCAGACAACCCAGCATGCCCCACTGTGTATTCTGTGGGAAGGTAACAACTACACCTGAGGGTCTCAAGAGACACATTGTAGGGCGTCCTGAATGTCGAACGCAGTATGAATCAATGATCGAAGAAGTAGAGGCAGAGAACTTAGACGACGCACCAGATGTTGACTTCCCCCATCAAGATGCAGCTCCAGGCCATGTTCACCCGCGCCCATCTCCAGATACAGACAATAACCCAGCGCTCAGCAAGACTCGTCGTGTTACAGTCGAGGAAGTCGAAGATGAAGATGGGATGTCGTTCACCAATAATGGCCGATATTTCGAACCTCGGACAGATGCTGGCTGGGCACTGCATGAGGGGGAGACGAGTTTTGAAAAATATAGAACATACCAAGAGGAAGAGGGTGAGGATCCATGGTCGCCTTTTGAGGACGAGTAAGTGCTTGAATGTGCTGGCAAAGCATCTACTAAATAGATATCACTCACCAGGGAAGAGTGGGATCTGGCCCACTGGCTCGTCAAGAACCTTGGTCAGACGCGGACCGAAGAATTCCTGAAACTGCCCATAGTAAGTTTGAAAGCATTGATCAAAATTTGAACTTACAATATTGATACCCTAACCAGACACAAAACCGCAGCAAACTTTCATTTCATAACAACCGCTCATTCTTGCAGCACGTGGATAAACTTCCACGCGGGCCAGGATGGAGTTGTAAGAAGGTGACTGTGCGTGGAAACTGCGAGGATGAAAAAGGCGAAATGTTGCAAGAAGAGGTTGAATTGTGGAGCCGGGACCCTGTAGAATGCGTGAAAGAGCTCATTGGCAATCCTGCCTTCAAAGAACATATGGCGTACTCACCTGCCAAAGCATATGCAGACCGTGCGGGGCAACATAGAGTCATCGACGAGATGTGGACAGCAGACTGGTGGGGCGAGAAACAGGTAAGACTATTTGAGAGGGAGCGACAAAGTAACAGACTGACCTCGCACACAGAACACCTTGCCAGAGGGTGCAACGATAGCACCAATCATTCTATCTTCAGACAAAACGTCGTTGTCGCAGTTCCGAGGGGATAAGTCGGCATGGCCAGTGTACATGTCCATTGGAAACATTGCTAAAGCAAAAAGGCGCCAAGCATCAGCACGAGCAACCGTCCTCATTGGTTACTTACCAGCTAGCAAACTTGACTGTTTCACCCCCGATGCACGCTCCTTGGCTGGATACCGCCTCTTCCACCATTGCATGGCTCTACTTCTCCAACCTCTCATCGGTGCTGGAAACGACGGTGTCGAAATGGTGTGTGCGGACTCGTGGGTTCGTCGTGTCTACCCAATTCTTGCAGCGTATGTCGCCGATTTCCCGGAACAGTGTTTGGTCAGTTGTTGCAAAGAGAACCGATGTCCGAAGTGCCTTGTAGCAGCAAATGAGCGAGGGGATGCACTCAACTCGGCAATGCGTGATCCAGAGTCAACAAAAGAAATCTTGCACAAGCGCAAGATTGGTCAGCATCCTCCGGAATTCGAGGCCAATGGTCTACGCGCCGTTTACAAGCCTTTCTGGGCTGATCTGCCTCACGCGGACATTTTTCTAGCTTTCACACCCGACCTTCTGCATCAACTTCACAAAGGTGTGTTCAAAGACCACCTTGTGAAGTGGTGCATCAATATTATTGGGGAGGACGAAATGGACGCACGTTTCAAGGCAATCCCAAATTATCCCGGCCTTCGACACTTCAAGAAAGGGATATCGAGTGTGAAGCAGTGGACAGGACGCGAACATAAAGAGATGCAGCGAGTATTTGTTGGCTTATTGAGCGGGGCAGTACCTAGGTGTGTGTTTATTGAGTCGTTAAGATGATGTTTTGATGTCATGCCTGGCAGTCGTGTTTTGGTGGTTGCACGATCTATTCTCGACTTCTCGTATTATGCCCAGCTGCACATTCAGACGACTGAGTCCCTCGAAGCCCTACAAACTGCCCTGACTGTATTTCACGCAAATAAAGACATCCTCAAGGAGCTCGCTGTTCGAGAGCATTTCAACATACCGAAATTACACCAGCTCTCTCATTATGTGCAGTCCATCACGTTGTTTGGCGCAGCTGACGGCTTTAACACAGAACTTCCCGAGCGCTTGCACATTGATTTCGCAAAGGATTCATACCGTGCTAGCAATAAACGGGACTACGAGTAACAAATGGCTTTGTGGCTCCAACGCCAGGAAGCCGTGTTTATACGTAGCGCATACCTGGATTGGTTGTCACAACAGCCTCACTCAAACCCACATGACTTCGACGCAGATTCAGACACGGACTCAGAGTCGGAAACACCAAATCTTCCCGCCGCTGAACCACTTCAAGCAACCCATGTCCTTGCAAAAGTCCCCGCACATCCTCACCAATCTGTTCAAACCATCATAACAGCACACGGTGCTACCGAGTTCCTCCTTGCTCTCCAATTGTTCTTACTCAAGAATCTCCCGCACAACACCATAGTCCCTGGTCTTCAAGACCAATTCGATCTTTATCGTCAAGTGGTGATTGTGACGCCACCAGATTTACGAGTTAGCGACGTGCCAAAGTGAAGGCGCATCAGAGCAACTCCAGAAAAGTTGCCGTCAGGCCGGAAGCCTGGTACCCCAGCCCAGTTTGACATGGCATTGATAGCAGACAGGCCTCGCTCTTCGCATTTGCATACTCTTGAGGGTATTTTTTTGCCGAGTTTCTCAGCGGTCAATTTTGATAATAGTCTGGTTGCAGGTGTACGAGTAGCCCAAGTTCGCGCTATTTTCACCCTACCTCACCAGTTCGGCGCATATTCCAGAGCCCTCGCTTATGTCGAGTGGTTCACACCTTTCAAACCACCCGACCCTTCCTCTCGAATGCGACAGGTCTCGCGCTCAACCCGCCAACTTCGCCGCAACGCTGCTGTAATCCACGTTGATGAAATTGTGCGGCCGTGCCATTTAATACCGAGGATGGGACAATCAGTAGATCTGAGGTTGAGAAGCGGAAATGCATACGAGGTGGCGAACGATTTTTATTTCAACGAGTTCATTGATGGCGAAATGTTTTGCGCATGTGTTATAAAGTAATTATATACAACGACGTGTCACGTACGTACTACGGTTGCACCTGTAGCTGCCTGTAGCCGCAGTGGTAGCTCCTGTAGCTGCCTGTAGCACCCCCCAACCATATAGCCGCTTGTAGCATGGCTTAAGACTATATAGCGCTATATAGGTCACTGTAGCGTAAGGTGTGCCTACATAGTGCTACTGTGCCTAAAAAGCGCTATATAGCTGTCGCCCGGGCTACGGCATTTTGGGTTTTTTCCTGATGTAAGTGGCTGGTCGCGCATAAGAAAGGCCGAGTTGAAGGGTTCGTCAAATCTCTGTGTCCCATGACACGCGAGATGGAGCCATGTGTTGTCTTGCAATGCGTGCAGTGCTCTTGATTTTGTGGCATCAACACTGGTTATCTTGGAGAAGGAAACGGTTGGGAGAGGGGGCAAAAGTCTCCGCACCAATTCCAACTCAGGCTCCACAGCATCCAAAGTGAATTCGGCACCGGCTGGGAAATCCTGACCTATGGCAACGAAGGGAACCGACGGGGACTTGACATGAGTTGCGCGAGCCTTGATCAGAGCGGTGAGCGATGGTGTATATGAAGAGATATACTGCTGCGAAACGGACTTTCCCTTTGCCCTGTACTCGCCAGCAGCATGCAACGGCAAGAAATTAAAGAGAGACGTTGGGCACCACCATATTCGCGAACCCCGTCGTGCAAATTTGTCTAGACTCTCGACCACTGGGCAAACGACGCCGTCCCACAGTCCTCTCAAAGCTTTTATCAGTGCTGTTTGGTTCCCTTTAGGACCGGCCTCTTTCTCAAGTGCCTCTTGGAATGTGAGCACCAATGTCAGGAGTTTCTCAAAATTGGTAGGCAGTTGAATGCTAATCGGAGGTTGCTTGTGTGGGATGATAATGGCATGGCAAGAAGACTTGCTTGTGATGAGCACGGTGATAGGCCCATCACGAGCTGCATCTTGAAGATCGGAGAATAAGGGAGGAAGGAGGAAACGAGAGAAGCCCTCGATCTTGCGGATCTCTTCTACAGCTCTATTCCACTCCTCCACTAGACGTCTGTACCGCGTGTCTTCTGCTTCCACATTGACTATTGGAGTCCCTTCTCGATGACTCGCAGGAGGTTTATCTAGGAGGGAGCTGAGGTCTTTGAATCTCTTTATCAGGGCCACTGCATAATCACCGTGGGTCTGGAGGATGTCAAGAGGGGTGCGGAGTCGTGTCATCTGAGTCCAGATGATGGTCCTGCCTTGTTCCAATAACTCGACAGCGCGATACACATCATCACTATGAAGAGCACACGATGCAGCATCAACGGCAAGTATAATTGGGAAGTCCTTCATGATATTGTGACGAGACGATATTGAAGCTGTCGTGGACATGTAGGTGTCCAGAAGTTGCATGGAAGTTACATAAGCCTCTAGTTGAGTGCTATGTCTGTGTTCATCAGCGTGACGAATCCAGAATAGACTTACTCGTAGGCGGGATCGCAAGCCTCCAGAGACAACATTTGCTGCTGCCTTCAGATGACCCATGACAGCATCCAGACTGTTAATATCTTCGCCCGGGCTAGTCCCGTCAAGTCCAGATCGATGGAACGACAGATAAACCATAGCTAGCGACTGATGGACTGATAATTGACGAGGATCATGCTGCGTCAGTAGAGTCGATGCACGACGTAGGTTTTCTCGTGACTCGTCGAGGTCATCTCTGTTGTGTTGGTGCTCAAAGCGGGTGGAGAGTAGAGTCGCGATGTTAATTAATGACGTGGACCGATCTGCGTGACCGGCCGGGTGCAAGGCCAGCGCTTCCCTGTGAAGTGCGATAGCTTGATCCAAGTCTTCGTCATTGCCTCTGTGGTCAAAGCGGGTGGAGAGTCCATCTGCAAGGTTATTTAATGACATGCAACGACCTGTGTGACCGGCCAGGTGCAGGACCAGCGCTTCCCTGTGAAACGCGATAGCCTGATCTAAGTCTTTGTCGCTGCCTCGGTGGCCAAAGCGGGTGGCAAGTTGACTTGCAAGGTTATTTAATGATCTGGACCGATCTGCGTGACCGACAGGGCGTAAGGTCAGCGCTTCTCTGTGAAGTGCAATAGCCTGATCCAAGTCTTCATCCTTGTCCCGGTGCTGAAAGCGGACAGAGAGTCCATTCGCAAGGTTATTTAATGACTTGGGCCGATCTGTGTGACCAACCGGGTGCAAGGTCAGCGCTTCCCTGTGAAGTGCAATAACCTGATCCAAGTCTTCGTCGTTGCCTCGATGGTGAAAGCGAGTGAAGAGTTGAACCGCAAGGTTATTTAATGACATGGAGCGATCTGTGTGACCCACCGGGCGCAAGGCCAGTGCTTCATGGTGAAGTACGATGGCCTGATCCAAGTCTTCGTTGTTGCCTCGGTTGTCAAAGCGGGTGGAGAGTTGAACCGCTAGGTTATTTAATGACAAGGACCGATTTGTGTGACCGACGGGACGCAAGGCTAGTGCTTCGTTGTGAAATGCGATAGCCTGATCCAAGTCTTCGCCGTTGCCTCGGTGGTGAAAGCGAGTGGAGAGTTGATTGGCAAGGTTATTCAACGACATGGGGCGATCTGTGTGACCGACTGAGCACAAGGTCAGCACTTCCCTGTGAAGTGCGATAGCCTGATCCAGGTCTTCATCGTTGCCTCGGTGGTAAAACCGGGTGGAGAGTTGAACTGCAAGGTTATTTAATGACCCGAACCGATATGTGTGACCGATCGTATGCAAGGCCAGCACTTCGCTGAGAAGTGCGATAGCCTGATCCAAGTCTTTGTCTTTCCCTCGGTAGTTAAAGGAGGTATAGAGTTGAGCCGCGAGGTTATTCAATGACAAGGACCGATCTGCGTGACCGGCAGGGCGTGAGGCCAGCGCTTCCTTGTGAAGTGCAATAGCCTGATCCAAGTCTTCGTCGTTGCTTCGGTGGCCAAAGCGGATGGAGAGCATATTCGCAAGGTTATATAATGACACGGACCGATATGTGTGACTGACCGGGTGCAAGGCCAGTGCTTCCTTGTAAAGTGCGATGGCCTGATCCAAGTCTTCGTCATTGCCTTGGTGCTCAAAGCGAGTGGAAAGTCGAACGGCAAGGTTATTCAATGACGTGGACCGATCTGTGTGACCAACTGGGCACAAGGCCAGCGCTTCGCTGAAAAGTGAGATAGCCTGATCCAAATCTTCGTTGATGCCTTGGTGGCCAAAGAGGGAGGAGAGTTGAGTCGCGAGGTTATTCAATGACATGCACCGATCTGGGTGACCGACCGGGCGTAAAGCCAGCGCTTCCCTCTGAAGTGCGATAGCCTGATCCAAGTCTTCGTCGTTGCCTCGACGCTCAAAGCAGGTCTGCAGCATTACAGATAGATTACCTAGCAATTGCACTCTGTAAGCGTGCCCGGTATTGTAGTATCCCAGTGCATCATAATGAAGGGATATCACTTCATCTAAGGCACGGGGTTTATCTATCTGCAAACACCACTCTGCTCGATCAGCAAGTTCGGTCGGCGATAACGGAAGCATGGATGCAGCGGGCCGCTCTTGCTCAAGATCATTTGAACCAGTGTGATCTGAAGGGCTAGACTCCTCACCCAAGGCTGGGAGGATACCATCGAGTCGGTCCGACACGGATTCTGTCATGGGGAATCATGGGTACCAGGCCTGCTGAGTAAATGTAGATGGCACATACTGTTGATGACAAGTTCTAACATTCCGCTGGTCATGAGGTTTGTCTCTCCCGGATCCTGTACTACTAGTTGTTCTGGTTGGCCTGGCTCCTCATCTAAGACTTGGAGTGTATCATCGAGCGGGTCTGGTACAGAGTCTGTCGCGAAACAAACCAAGAGGATAACGACGAAATAAAGTGCCGCCAGAATTGCTTTGGGAAATCATCGGTACATGCTAAATGAAGGAGATGTTACACATACTATTGACTACAACTTGTAGCATTTCACTGATCATGAGGTTTTTTTGTCCTGTGTCTTGAGGGCATTCTGGGCGGCTCGGGCCCTCTCCCAAGGGTGGAGGGTAGTCATTGAAATGGCCAGGGACGAGTCTTGACATACAAGTGAGGGATGGATTCAAACTAACACTCGGGAGTAAGATGTATGCTGGAGGTCACGAAACACTGCAGTACCTGTAAATTCCTGAAGGACGATACAAATATGATGAAGGAACCACAGCATGTATACGGCATCCACACCGTGCAGCGCCTAGATAAGCTTATCGACAGGACAGAATTGACTCGCAGATATCAAGCCAACCCATAGCATCATTAAGTCACAGTGGGCATTATATTTGTACAGCAGAGGCACATTCTAGCCTGGTGTGATAGGCTATGATATTGCATTTAGAGCAGTCGAAACGAGAAGGCTGCACGAGGAAATATTCCACACATTTCGCAAGAATTCCGAGTCGCCTACTATAACGAAGCCGCACTGCCTGAATCTGCCTGAATGTTGTGAGTAGTCGAGACTGTCCTCTGTTCAACCGTTAGATACATCTTGCACGAGAAGGCACGTGCGTCGGAACTGACAAGAAGTTATGACTGTACATGTTAAACTTGTTTTGTTGCAAGGATCATATACATATGTCAAGCACCGTGCAGTAATCATGTTCGATGAAAATATTGCCTGAGCTAAAACTCGGTTTGTGACTTGAGATTTTACTCTCAGGAATCCAGGTTCAACCGGCGCTTGTTGACCAGTGGCAGTCTGCTTATTATGTATGGAAAGCAGGACCACCGCGCTCTATTTGTCAGCATTTCTGGTGCAGGACTCCGGAAACCGCAGAGACAGAGCTAAAATATAATAGAGTAAGTCCTGCTACGTACCTAATATAGATGTTTTTCAACCATCCTTATTTTCCCCGACTTCGAATCCTGGTTTTCCCCAAGAAGAAGTTGGTCATCAGTGGTATCACGCCGAATGACATCAAGTTTTTCGTTGGGCATTGTGTTGAAAGTACGTCGAAGATCTCGCCCGTTGGCTGTGCAGTCATTGGGTTGATGTTGTTTCACCCAATAATTGATGGTATAGGTCATCCCATGTTGGAAATCATACGGGAAGGAAACAAGAAGCATGCATTTGGGAGTCGGGATCCCTTGTGCGCAACATTCCAATATCACGCACGCTACATAATAAGTCTTATTGTAGATCCAACTACCATTCATCAACCACATGTCCATCTTCGTCATCGGAAAACTCCCAGACCACTAGACCAGCGTGACCAGACTCGTCAAGGTTGGTGTCTTCAATGAGAGATACATCAGGTTCATCGTGCCCTGCAAGTATGTCCAATTGTCGTGAATGAGATTCATCTACAACGAAGTCAGGTCTTTGTAATGTTGCATGCATAATGGAAAAGACGCACCAAGGCCCAATCCCCCACCTACACCACCCATATAATAAGTGTTGTAGCAGTAGCTCAGTGGACGTGCGAAGTCAACTAACGTGTATTGGTATGTACCTGTTGTAGCAGTAGCTACAGGTAGTGTCAGTAAGTAGGAACTATGTACAAAGGTAGTACTAACCTCAGTGGACGTGCGAAGTCAACTGAGGAAGGTTGCGATGCGCGGGAACAAATGGTATTTGTAGGTAGGTAGAAATGAAAACGGTACCGAGTGTTAATAATGGCGAGGATTGATATAACAACACTCCCCCTCAAACCGAGCGTAGTCCGAGGGCGGATGCGAAATGCTTGACTTTCAAGCTGGGAAGAGGTTTCGTAAGGGTATCTGCAGTCATATCGTCCGTAGGGCAATAAACTAAAGAAATTGAACCTTTTTCGACAGAGAAACGAATAAAATGATACCGGATGTCTATATGTTTGGTCTGGGCGTGAAACGCCCCGGACTTCGCGAGTGCTATGGCCGACTGGTTATCACAGTGGAGCACTGTGGCCTGCGTTAACGGACGGAAAATCTCGCTGATGAAGCGCCGGAGCCACACAGCCTCCTTCGCAGCGTGCGTCGCTGCGACGTACTCGGCTTCGGTCGTTGACAGCATCACTAACTCCTGCTTTTTGGAACTCCAGGATACCGCACCCCCATCCAGGAGGAATGCGTAACCGGACACTGCGTGCTGGTGTTCCTGTGATGCGCCATCAGTGTCGGTGTAGCCTTCAAGCCCGTGTTGCGAATTGCCGAAGGTGAGAGCGAGAGTTTTGGTGCCGAGGAGGTAACGATAGATCTTCTTGACAGCCTCCCAGTGAGGCATACCGGGATTGGCACCAAACTGCGCTACCGTGGAGACGGCGAATGCGATGTCGGGGCGAGTCCCGACAGCGAGGTGCATGAGCGAGCCAACGGCTTCGCGGTAGGGGATATTCTTCATTTGCGCGGACTCGTTTGGCATTTTTGGAGATTGCGAATGCGAGAGCGGGAGATTAGGGTCCATGGGGATAGAACTCGGCTTCATATCTATGAAGTTGTACTTCATGAGTATGGCGTCAACGTAGGATTCGTGTGAAAAGGAGATGGTGCGCGCGACTCGGTCGCGCGTCACCTTCATGCCAAGTAAGGATGCGACTGGACCCAAGTCCGTAAGCTTGAAGCGTGCAGCAACTTGCTGCTTGAATTTGGCGATAAGTGAGGAGTTGCTGCCGGTGATGGTGCAGTCGTCAACGTGGGCAGCGAGAATGAGAATGTCCGTGCCTATATGCTTAAAAAATACCCCCCAGTCTGACTCTGCTCTCGTCATGCCGAGACTCCTCATCAAGCGGCATAGCTCCAAGTACCACTTCAAAGCTCCTTGCTTTGATCCGTACAATGCGACGTGCAGGCGTGCGATGGGATGCTTGAGGTGAGTTTGGACGTTGAGTCCGGGAGGTAACTGCATGTAGATGATTTTGTCAGGGTCCAATTTGCCGTTGAGGAAGGCGCTATGGAAATCGAAGACGTCGATGTCCCAGTCGTTGCGCGGCAATTGCCGTGATCGTCTGGAGAGAAGCGAGCCGTGCGACGGGTGCGTACGTGTCGTAATAATCGACACCGTAGACTTGTGAGTACCCCTTGGCTACCAGCCGGGCCTTGTACTTATCTATTTCTCCGTCCGCATTTCTCTTAATGCGGAAGACCCACTTGCACCCAATGATATTAGCTCCCGCCGGCTTCTCTATGATCGACCACGTGTTTGCGTCTTTGAGTGCAGTAAGTTCCTTGATCACTGCGTCGTCCCATTTGGGCCAGTCAGTTCTCACGCGAGCTTCTTCCAGCGTTATCGGGTCTGTACTTTCGACCTCGTCGACTCCTACCATCATGGCGAACACTTCTTCATTGTCCTCGTCGACCTCTCCATCCTCCCCCAGCATCCCGAGCTCGACCGCTAGATTGGACTCTTCGGGGACTTGCTGCATCCCTCGAGGTAAGCTGCTTGTTCGTCCATCCGTGGTGCCTGCGCCTTCGCGCAGGCTTTTGATGTACGCTGACTCCACTCTAACTCTTGCAGAACGACGCGGTTGGGGAGGTTCTTCGAAGTGGGGACCTAGATGGTCTGGAGGAGGGGTGGTTAGTGATGCGGCTGGACGGTTGATTTGACCGGTGAGTGTTGAACCGACATCATCGGTTCGTGCCGTGCTGCTAACTGGTGCTTTGATAGCTGAACCGACATCATCGATTCGTACCGTGCAGTCTGCCGGTACGTTTCCTCCTTTTACAGGTACCACTACCTCTGCCGTGTCGAATACGACACTTCGTTCGACGGCAACTCTTCTGGACTCAGGGAGGTAGACACGATGGCCATTGCTATCGTGGTCGAATCCCACCCATCTGCCATCAACTGCTCGCATGTCGAGCTTGGAGCCGTTGGGCGAGTGTACCTTTACGCGGCTGCCCCACTCTGGTAAGTTCTCCATGTTGGGCTTCTTCTTAAATAACGCCTCATACGGTGTCATGCCATTCAGCGCCCGGGTGGCCATTCTATTTTTCAGCCAGGTTACGTGCATTATGGCCTCCCCCCACAAGAACTTGGGGAGTCCGCTGGCGTGTAAGAGCGCGCGCGTACGCTCTACGAGCGTCCGGTTCTGACGTTCGGCTAAGCTGTTATGCTCTGGGGTGTCGTGAACGGTGAGTTTTCTCTCAGTGCCTTTGCTGCAAAGATGACGTGAAAACTGTTCTCCAGTGAATTCTCCCCCTCGATCCGAACGCAGCTTCTTGACCTTAGCGTCAATCTGTGTGTTCGCCCAAGACTCGAACGTCTTGTAGGCGTCAAACGCTTCATCCTTCGTCCGAAGGAGATACAGGTGCGTGAATCGAGTATGGTCATCTGTGAATGACACGAAATACTCTTTATGTCCAGGAGTTTGCACTGGGGAGGGTCCCCAAAGGTCCGTATGGACTTCGTCGCCGAATTTCTCACGACGCGGAGGGTCACGAGATTTCCCGATGGCTTTTCGGGTAGCCTTTGCATACTCGCATGAGTCGCATTTGTCCAAGGTGAGTTCTGAGGGGTCTAGGGTGATTCCGGTAATGACACCATCCTTTAGCATGTGTTTGATGCTATCGGGAGCGACGTGCCCTAGTCTGGCATGGGCTTCTCGCATGGTGAGCGTCTCTTTGGGGCTTGTTGCGCCGGCAAATAGTCCTCTTGGACTTCTAATGCAATATAACCCTTTATTTACTGATATTTCCCCCATTAGCTTCTTCTTCTCGTCGAAGATCTTGCAGGAACTCTCGCGGAATAACACCGCGTATCCTGCGGACGCGAGACGACTAATCGACACCAGGGTCAGCCCCATTTGAGGTGAGTAAAGAACGTCCGTCAGCAATATTCGTGTTTTTGACTGTCCGTTTGGTAGGAAGATAACGATGTTTCCTTTTCCTGTCGCTTCAAACGTATGTCTATCGGCCGTCGTAATTGGTTTTGGCGCGATACTGACAAAGTTCTGGAACAGGTGCCTGTATGAGGACATGTGGCGCGAAGCGCCTGAGTCGAATAACTCGATTCGAGTGTCTGATTTGCTCGTCGAATCTGTCAGCGTTGCAAAGGTAAAGGATGTTCGTTCTTCTGGCGCGCTTGCTTCATGCGCTAACCATACACCTTCAGGTTCATTGTCCTGGTCCTTCTCTTTAGCACTTGCGGCCGTTTCTGCTCGTTTCCCTTTGGCGTCGGGCCTGTCTTTGCCCTTGCCTGTAGCTGCTCCTCCACCCCCGGGACCACGGCAGTCTCTTTGCATATGACCGTACTTGCCGCAATTATGGCAGTTTCCTTTTATCTTTCGAGTACGCTGGCCTGCATTCGTGTTGTAGGCGGCGTCGTCACTCGAGGATCCTGCCTTCTTCGACTTTGAGGCTCGACGGTCGTATTCGTCAACAATTGTCGATATCAGCGTGTCAGCGGTAAGTTTGACACTTGAGACTTTGGCTGATGCCGTTAACGCTGATAGGTGCGGGTCGTAGCTGCTCGGCAACGAGCTCATAATCATCGCCGCAAAGCTCTCATCCGTTGGCGCGTGGCCCAACGAAGACAATTGCTCTTTAACAGTACGCATCTTGTCGAAATGTTCACGAACATTCCCCTTTTCGGGGCATTTTAGGTCCTGTAGCTTGCGCAGTAGCTCGACGGAGACTACGCGCGAGCGTTGCTCGAACAAACTCGAAAGGTGCGTAAAGATGTCTTTAGCCGTATCTAGATTTTTGATTTGAATGAATAGGGAATCGGGGATCGTTCCGGCGATTTGCTGTTTCGTTATGGCCTGGCCCATGCGCCATTCTTTCAGCTCTGTTTTGTATGTACTAACTTCTTTCACCTTGTCCGGAGTAGCAGGTACCCACGACGCTCCTCTGTTAGGCAGCGTCTGGGGATCTATTGGCTTCGTCTCGGTGCCATCCAAATGGCCGAGCAGCCCTCGAGCGTCTATCGACCATTGTAGACGCTCTTTATACATCATCCAATTCTCGCCATCGGCAGCGAGCTTGGGAATGCGGAGAAAGTCTTCTCCCAATTTTCCGTTCGAGGTGGACATCCTTTTGTGAGTCTTTTCTTCGCGCGCTTAATTTGAAATTTTCACTGATGGTGCGCAGGGCTCATAACCTGTTGTAGCAGTAGCTCAGTGGACGTGCGAAGTCAACTAACGTGTATTGGTATGTACCTGTTGTAGCAGTAGCTACAGGTAGTGTCAGTAAGTAGGAACTATGTACGAAGGTAGTACTAACCTCAGTGGACGTGCGAAGTCAACTGAGGAAGGTTGCGATGCGCGGGAACAAATGGTATTTGTAGGTAGGTAGAAATGAAAACGGTACCGAGTGTTAATAATGGCGAGGATTGATATAACAACAATAAGCTCCATCATTTCCGTTGTGAAATGGCAAGTCCTGGTGGTCTTCCAAGAGCGGTAAGAAATCATCGTCCAGATTGTCATCGGGGAGCACCATTGGCGGCAGCTGCTCGTAAAGTCGAGAGGTGATCTGGTGTAAGTCCAAATAGACATTCCATGCTGAGCGGCAATCGACAATGGGGCGGCCAAGCTCATCATAGCACTGATGTAAGAAATCACCGAAGTCTCGAGGGACAAGCTCAAAGACAGCGTGATTAAGATCAACATAGAGATTACGAACGTGGTCTATAGTGCCTGGTTCAAGAACGATCTAGATAGAAATCAAAATACTTGTACTTAGCACATGCAAATGAAAATAATAGGAGACGTATCACACACTTTGAAATCAAGTGCACCAAAGTCACCTGGTGAATCATAAATGAGGTTTGGGACCCCATGAGGGAGCACCTTGAAAGTAGATAGTAGGCCATGTCAGCGAGAGTGAGGGAAAACTGGTATGAGAACTTTATCAACCTTGTTGCGATCATGTCGCTTCGCAGTATTGTTTATACGGTCCTTGTACCCATCAAGCTCACGTTGCAGCCATGGAATAAATACCCATCGAAATATTAAGCTGCAGCCATCTTTAAGGACCATAGTAGCATACAAGAAATGTATCACACACCGTTGCAAAGTGCTGTCACAGTCATACCAGCCAGCATCAACACCACTGTCTAAGTAATTCTCGAAGCCTGGAGTGAACCGGCGTCGTAACTGAGACCACGTAATTTCTGGCATGACGTTTTTCTTTGTACGCATCCAGCGATGTTGTAGGGTACCTTGCAGTGTCAGGTCGTGCCATTGACGGAGCATCGTGTGCGCATTAGCAATACCAAAGTTCTCCGATCCTGGGTCACTTTGCGTGACCATAGGCATGTCTATAACACAACAACATCAATGGCATTATGGTAAAAAATCATAAAGAAAAACCTACGACCAAGTTCCTGGATGGTATCAAGGTAGTAAGTTAGGATCAGTTGCGGATTCCGGTTCGAGTGCCACACTCGCATCCACATAATGTGCCCAGTGAACGGTTCAATGCCAGTATGTAACGCAAGGCCAAACCTAAGCCACTTGTCATGCTGATCGACAGCAAACAAGTCGTTGACTCCCGCTGCCCAAAACCGTTGTCTCTGGAGCCTACGAGCCTTGCGCTGGCGGACAAGGTCGACCTCATACTTTGAAAAGTATGCTATCACAATGTTTCTGGCAGGATGAAAGTTTGGTGTGATAGACGACATGATACCACAGATATCACTTACCTCGAAACACTCATGGCATGCTCGTGAAAGAGCAAATTAACCATCTCCCGGGCACCTGCATTGGGATATGTCTCTCGAAGCTCGATCATAGCTTCGCGAATGCTTTCAACAGTATGACGCTGTTGGTGTGTGCGCAAAAGGCCCATTCCAATACGTATCTTCACGAATTTTGTAAGCCTATAATGAAGTAAGCAAGTACTGTGGACATAAATTAATATGAATGACTTGCCCGAGTCCGTATCATGATGTATCGTAATGATTTCTCAAGTTCTGGACAATTTGCTTGTCGGTTTGCCAGGTCTTCCATAATCGAAGGATATGCGGAGAAATATCCTCGAGAGGTGCTAGAGTGCAATGTCAGCACATTGGACAATGTCAATTACGGGTAGTACATGTAGTACATACGGGATGGTTTATTCTGGTTCGGCATTGAGCTTTGAGCATACTGGTGCAGCTGCTGACAGTGGGTGGGATATGGGAGGAATTTGACGCAAGCTACATATACACCTCTAACCCGGTGGAGGTCGAATCCGACCGCACTGTGATACCATATTCAGTAAGTACATGGCAATCAGGATGGAGCTCACCAAGTACCATGCCAGGTGGACAACAGGTTACGGTTTGGGTAGAATTCGGAATGTTCTACCGCACTGTGACACCATATTAAGACGTGGGTAGTCAAAGAGGTTAAAGACTTACTGCATTGAACGGATTTTCAAGAAGAATGATAATGACAACAGGAGAGAACTGACCTGCATCCAGGATTCCAACCGGTGCACAACCTGCCCACCCGCTCCTATGCCTTGAATCAGCAGAACTTGCACCCAGAATTCCAACGGCGAGAATAGAGTCGCAAGAACATGCTGATATCTTTGGCTTGCTTTGGCTTGAATCAGCACTGGAATGAAGATAAGGGAGTATGAGGAGAGGTAAGCATTTCAGATAATTCATATCTATGCTACAGGTCTCTACTGTATTGCAAAGCACCTCCGCGTCCACTCAAAATCTTACATCATCAAGTGCCTTCGAGTCTACCAAACAGTCCCACAGGAACAATCTGAGCACCACCACCACATCTTCATCACCGCCTCACAAAAAGCTTGCAGTTGCGCCACCCAAAGCGCTGTTTAGCTCGCCTGATCGCAGCGACCTAAAGGAAGCACTGCGGAGTGGAGGCAGTGCAACAAACTTTGATGTTGCACAAGGTGAGTTTGGTGTCCTGTTCACAGTGGTGCACTGTTAACCGTTTCTCTACTGTTTTTCTTGCAGTGCTTGGCACATACACTGAGAATGTTCATTTCTATGGGATCCCCACTCGTCCGCTTGCAGATATCCTTAAGAATCTCAATTATCGTTCTTTTAAGGTAGAACCAGCGCAGGTGATAATCGGACAGCTGACAGTCAATTCATCTACACGCAGCATGCTGGGGGCTGGTGGATTTAAGACTGCTCATCCTGGTTGGCTTTCTCTCACTCCTCTTGTTAAAAGTGGGCTAGGATCGGTTCCTGGTCAAAATGTTGCAGTGAAGCGACCGTTTCATAAGGTGTTTCCATCCGCCTCAAGCCTTATGTACAAAATAGGTCGTTTTTCGTCAATTGACGAAATAGCCAAGCTTGGCAAGGAAGCAAACATTTTATATTGGGCTCATTCTCTCCTACAGCTCACATATGCCTTCATCGATCACTGTATTGCCTCCTCTGAGGAACCTCCGCCATTTGACATCCCTCGTGTGCGCTTCGTTGACGCTGGCTTGGCGATCTCTTACTCTCAACATGATTCCAAACCTACGAAGGCAGGCTCAAAAACAGGCTCGTCGTGTGTGGGATATCTTGTAGAGGAGCTTATTGAAGGCGGGCCAGACGTTTTTATGAAGTTCATTCACAACATGGACTCTAATCCTCTGCTCGATCACGATGATTACTATGGCTATGAAGTAGCTTCGTTCTTTTCTTTCACGCAACACGTGCAGTATGTAAAGACAGGTGGCTTGGCCTTCATCTCAGACTATCAAGGTAATTCATTGCTTTGCAGCTCGATACACTACTGACTCGGATATCCTGATAGGAAGCACAGAGCTGCTGACGGACCCGCAGATCCTAACAGACCCGTGCGTCAATATGTCATTCCATGCTCGCTTATATAATTTTTTGATTAGGTCGGTTGGTCAAGGGAAGGATCTTTTTGGCGAGGGGAATATGGAATGCACGGTTAGCATGTTCGAGAAACAGCACAAATGCAATGAGTTTTGTGAGTGGCCAGGGTTTGGATTGGTGCCCTTCGCCACGACAACAGAAGACAAAAGCACAGAGGAGACGGAAGCTGGAGAAGCCGGATGTAGGGAAGATGGTCCAATTGCCTCTTAGAATATTATCTGAACATTCTTGCACGGTATTTCTTGGACTGTACAACAAAACAAACTTCTTACGGTGTACGGGGTACTCGAGAAGCTCCTGCCTTATATAGTACGATTTTGGCTGACAAATAGAGCGCGGTGGTCCTGCTTTCCATAATTATGCAGGTCCTTTCCCACCCATACTACCTCCGAGCCGGTTTATACAACAAGGTTCCACATTGTTGATTAAAGCATTATTGAGACGATCTGACGCTTTCGCATATAGCATCCAGTCATAACCATGCACAACATGTTACTTGCCAAGGATTTTGACATTGCAGACCTTGATACTGTATATCTACACGATATAGTACACCAATTTCGACTTCAGTTCGTATAAGTTATTGCCTCGGAGCCAGATGTGATCGCTCCCAAGGTGCGCTCAGGCAGCCAGGCTGGTTGAATACACTCCCACCCATCATGCAGGACCGAAATCTGGTGCTCATGCAAGGAGCTTGGACCTGGCGGGATAGATAGACTATAGAAGACCATAGACGAATGAAAATACATGGGCCGGTTTCCTCGAGCTCGGGCCTGTGGGCGTTGGGCGTCACAGTCCCAGTGTCGATGGTGAGTATGGGACGTACCTTTGAGTTTTGTGTCTGTCCTCCATGCGCTCAAGTCAGCCAGATTTCCGTTTGTCTTCCAACATCAGTGTCTTCTTGGTTGATGTGTTTACAACACTGCACGCTAGTATGAAATACACATGCATGCTTCCAGGTCTAGGTGTGAAATTGGTACTATGGTATGCGCACTCTACGACTCATGAGTAAGTTCGCTGCAAGAGCTGGACCTGCTCGTCCTTGTTCAACCCCATGCGACCTCTCCAATTGCGAGGACAAATAGGTATTTCGTCAATGTTGCGCGGGCGCACTGGTAATGCCAGAATAGCATCTAGAATCTCTGGAACATCCTCGGGCTCTACTTCACCTAGCCTGTATAATTAAGATCAGATAAACGCATGCACAATAACATACAATTAGAAGGCTTCAAACATACCATTCTCCGTGCGGGTACACAAGGAGATTTGCTGCATATCTAGAATGGTGTATGAGCGACCAGACTTGGCGAAATGGATGTGACGTGTGCATACTTGTGCCCTCCGACATGTGCCACTTCTGCAAGTTTAATGCGAGTACTGGGATCACTTGGATTGGTATCTCTGCGCTTGCGGAGTTCATCCCTTATAGCCTGGGCGACTGCTCCCCCAATGTCTCCGCACCGACAATCTCGCGCACCATGAGTACAGACATACAAATGCACATCATCTGAATTCGAGGGTGTAGCACCAGAGGTACCTTCAGCATGCGCCCTCAACTTTTCTCCCACCTCCTCAATATTATCCATGGACACAGTAGCCTCAAGCTTTCCCCGTGGATGCGCAAACGCCGTCAGATGATACTCCTGCTTGTCTTCCTCCCCAGGTGGTCGTGCACAGATAGATTGTTGGTCCTCAGACCACGAAAAATTGACAGACCCACCCCATTTAGCAGTGCGCAGAAGGAGTGCGCGCTGGACGGGGGTTGCGTACTTGGCGGGATACTCGCTAGGCGGCTGTGGGGTATGCAAGAAGATGTAGCACCGGTGCGAAGGGGCTGTGCCAACGAGCTCAGATGTAGACCTTGCAGTGGTGGATAGCGACCGCGCGAGCGTTTTGAGCGCACGGAAAGCTGGCATATAGAGGACCGAGTTGTGAATTGATTCACGGAACTGCGGGCGGCGGCACTGAGTCTGGGAACGTGATCATACACGTGACCGGCGCGACCGGATCATCGATGAATGATAGTACCTCGGAATTGAACGTGAACGTTGAACATGATGCATGAAGCGCGATACTACTTAATCGCTGTACCACTGGCAGGGACAATGACAACACATCGCTCCTGGCTGTATGGATCAGACTAACATCGTCTAACTCTACCGAATTGACATTCATAAGGATCCTAACCAATGTGAAGGTCTTGCTAGTATCACTGTGAAAAGGCTTCTGAGATTTCAATGTCACCCCTGCTGGTTCTACTATAGACCCATTATTTGTGTCGTGTGCGCAGCATTCGACTTTCGTCTCGTAGACCATGTCTTTTCGATTGGGCATGTTGCTAGTGTGTGACTGGCGTGATACATATCTTGCCATCATGCATTACCTGAATATTTCTCGAACTCTTTCAGCAGCCACGTCAACGATATTCCCTGGCACTCGTTTCAAGATGTCAATATACAAGCTATACCACAGATCCCTCATCTTTCGGATTGATCTGATGTCTCCCTATCTGCAATACCAACACCACGAAACAGACGACAAGTGCTCCAGCGAAACCTACGGCACCACGCGTCCATTGGCTTTCAATTTTGAAGACCAAATCACCGAAGCCTGCAGCAAAATTTATTAGGCTATTGCAAGAGTTCAGCAACAACATTCTTCATGCGGTAACATGAATGCTTACGCCCACACCAACAGTCCATATGGCAAGCTATACAATATGGCTAGCACTTCCGTGCCGAAGAAAGACTGTTCCACGTATGTCAAAAGCGCAACCTGTCCTTTGGGTCAGTCCTTGATAGAACAGTAATATTTAAGAAGTTCTCTTACAGCTCGCTCGCAATCCCTTTTCTGGTTTTGACGAACCAGAAGAAGTACGAGGAGGACAACTGCAATGCTGCAAACCACTGATATATAGCTTAGTAATCCGGCAGTGTCTGGCACAGATGGAATTGCAAGAAAAGCTATGTTAGCATTGAGAATGACTGTTGCCTGGAGTAAGTCGTAAGTGTTTGCTGACTCCACTTATTTTAATAACAATTTACCGAAAGCGCAAGTCCAGTCCACTCGTCATTGAGTTTGTCGATGAATTGATTCCACAGGACGCGATTAATGATCCTATCAACCCATATCACCTTCAGATCTTCTTGGTGGGTACGAGGGGAGCCAAAGAGCAGGAAAGAGGTAATAATGAACAGAAGCGACTGGTGATCATGGCCCTTGAAGTAGATTGTCTGGTCGGAATCCAGCCTTGCACCCGGCTGTCCACAGAAATTGAAAAACTTTGCTTTGACTACTGTAATATTAGCAAAAGCTGGTAGAGTCTTTAGTTACGCACTGAACTCGGACATAAATCGAGCTGCAAGAAGATGGGTCAACATACTTCGCGAAGCACATCGTTCAGGATGAAAACACACCCACGACACATCTCGTGTGCGTAAATTGACCATCAAGGGTTCCTATCATAGAAAACATCAGTCATCTGAATCGTGTTCGCAAACCTTTACCAGTACTACCTTGGATGTTCATAACGAGGTCCAGCATCTTCTCCAGCTCCTCTTTCTCAAACGGAGCGACACACGTCACAGATGTGATGGTCACTGTGAGATTCACAGACGTCAATGTATCGCTCGAAAAAATGCGATATGATATTGAAAATTACCTGCTGCGGCATGCATAATCATTTGTTTGAGTTCCTCGAGAACAACTAGCGTCACTCGATTTTCATGTGGAAACAGTTCACAGTGAATCCTTGAAGCTGTTTGAGTCGGCATAAAATCTACACGAACGGCTGATACGATATCAGAAACTGACCCCGGTCACCCAAAGTAATAAACATACCTGGACCTCACCAGTACTGAGCCTCAATAGCGTATTCTGAAATCGTGCATGTTAGTATATAGAAAATGCGGGAGATGGTCAGAAGTCACGCACTGATATGACCCATATTCTTCACTCGTCTGATGTTCTCAAACAAGGTTTCTGCGTCAAAACGTTCTAGCCAGAAGATGCACCGCGTGTCTTGTTCGACAAAATAGTAGCCGCAGGTGTTCTCGTCAATATCCTCAACGACTAATTCCGTTTTGCTAGTGATATCCACGTTTGGGTTGGCCTGTGCATCGTTATATAGTTGATCTGCGAATGCCTCGATCGCAAGGAGGGTTGACGGCTTTGATAAGTCAGCATCAGTGTATATCCGCTGCCACCTTCGTCAATAATTGTGTGGGACGTCAAATATGAACCTACGCGACTGCTGTCGTAGTAATACAAGGCACCTTCAGGGTGCACGAGTGGTTTCCAGCGACCAGAGGGTGGTTTGCTTGGCGTCGTCAGCTTACAATAGTCCAACTGCAGAAGAAGTACATACTCCTCGAACACCTTGTTCCCCGGCTCAATAAATACGCGGTCCCTCGTTTGGGGTCTACGCCATGATTAGGAATCGAAAAAAGAGGCCGAAAGCGCCTTATACCGACTTACATTGTACGCTTCCTCTCGTATCGATTCACATCAGATGCTGGAATAGGCCTCGCCTTGCGTATCGATGTAGTAGACGGAGATGTTGTGGATGACGATACAGATATGCCAGAATTTGAAGGGTTGATGTTACCGCTCGGCGCGGCGCACGCACCGCTTGCTGTAGCGACCGAAGTTGCACTAGCAGAAGGTACCGGAGATGAGGTTGTCGACTTCTGTGGGGTTACCGAGCCTCCAGGACTGCTGACTGTGATATGAGGTACTGTTCTGTTAACGAGTGACTGCCTTAGCATCTTTTTGCTGCTTGAGAGTGTTGACGGGGTAAGACATACTGTGACAACGCGGGAAGAGGATAGCTTGTTGGCAAAGTCGCAGAAGACCGTTGGAGCCTTAACCACAGGCGAAGATGGACATGATTGAATTGCTACAAAGAATAGAACACCACATTGCAGACGAACCGGCGTGCCCTGATGTAGTCAAAGATGGTGCTTAGCCCCCCTCTAGCACGGCTTCGTAAATTCGACTGAGAAGACATCGAAATAAATCAGTATTCAGTATTCAACTCGAATGATTAACCAGCCTGAAGTTGAAGCGCCGAACAGCCTCAACCACGTGTAGTACGTGTATGGATGTTACATCATCCATAGAACCCTATAGAACCATTATGCTCAAGTTACATAAAAACAGTCATCCTTCTTTTCAAGCTGACCGACAGACTAATTTCCGACACTTCGGAGTTTACGTTTAGCTCTGCCGCTGTAGTGCGCATACAACTGTGCGTCATGTGAACTGACACATATTGACAAAGCATGTCGTAGGCTAATCATCCCAATCGCCAAACCCGTATATAAACAGCTAACTACTATGCTTGACCGTCATAATATCTCGGCACCATGGGTTTCTTCTCAAAGTCATTCGACCCAGTCACTGACCTCCCAGACTTGTCTGGTAAAGTCATACTTATCACAGGCGGAAAGTGAGTACTATCTCTCTCATGACCCGGATTTTATTCACATAGCTGCTTTGTAGCGCAGGTATCGGCTACTCGACTGTGAAGCACCTGGCACGTCGTGGTGCCAAGGTGTATATGGCTGCACGCAACCGAAGCAAGGCAGAGGAGGCGATCGCGCAATTGAAAGCAGAGGGACTGGGTCCTGGGAACGGCGATGTTATCTGGTTGGAACTCGATTTGAAGGACCCTCGAAATGCGAAGAAAGCGGCAGAGGTATTTATGAAGCAGGAGAAGAGATTGGATGTTCTCAGTCAGTATATGTTTTTGTTCGTTCATGATTTCGGCATGCTGAGTGAATCACAGTTCACAATGCTGCGGTGTAAGCTGTTCCGCTTGCATGGGCGTGATCGATACTGAATGTCCTATAGGTTTTTTGAGAATTACGCCATGACGCCGGATGGTAGGCCTTGGTCTCGCTCCGTAAAGATCTGCACTTACACAACATCCCAGGAGTTCAGGAGATAGTGATGGTCAAGTACGTCTTCTGGCAAGAAAAAAAATATGTACCAAGTACTCACCTATATTCATTCCAGCGTTATCAGTCACGCCGCCCTTACACGCACCCTCCAACCGCTGCTGGACCAGACAGCAGCAGAACCAAATTCAGACGTCCGCATAGTCGTCGTATGTGAACATATTTCACCCCGTGCATCCCGAAAACTCATAGCTCCATACTACCATCCAGGTCGCTTCAGACGGCCACCGGTTTGTATCAGGGAAACCTCGTTTCCGTAACCTTGATGATCTTAACAATGAACTCAAGAGTTCGCTTTCCCCCAACTTCGCGCGTTATTGTACGTCGGTCGTCCATTGGTATCTTCTGCCAGTCTCACGAAATCCCTTCACTAGGCATGTCGAAACTCATGAATGTACTCTATGCTTCTGAACTTCAGCGACACCTCACCGCTGTTGGCTCTCCCATCACCGTTATCGCCATTCACCCTGGAGGGGTCGACACCTTCTCTCATAAATCCAACTTCAAGTTCATCGTCAAGCCTCTCGTGTCCCTCTTCTTTGTACGTCAAGACCAGGGTGCATACACCTCGGCGTTTGCAGCTGCATCGGAAGAAGTCGCCAAGCAGCGCGAGAAGTACAAGGGCATGTATTTAACGCCACCAGGCAAGCTAACAGAGTCGACGAAGGTGGCGAGGGATGAGGGGCTTGCAAAGGAGCTTTGGGATACTGTGGATAGGTTTTTAGAGGAGAAGGGGATTTGATGGTTATTGATGAGCTGAGATCGATGCGCGGCGAACAGCCGTACCTCCAAGAGGTGTCGAATGGACAAGGACGTTGATCTCACCTCTAAATCATGATGGAACGATGATATCTGTTGATGTGTTGTCATGTACACTTGCATGACACTGATACCCATCCAGGCTGTGCGCTTTTCCTCTCATTTTGTTGAGTACAGATCCAATGCTACGTATATAATTAACTGTACACTACATATTGTAATCAATAAAGTATCTCTGTCATCTCCGCAAATCAGTTTACTGGGACGAGCTCACGGTAATGAAGAGCTATAAGGATCGAATTGATTAACTGCGAGGAACAGAAAACACTGGAGACTCACTCCTTGCGGCCTTTTCAACTCGTTGTCGTAGACCGGGATCTTCGGAGTTGGGGAGATATGATGATTTCAAATCGCAGATATTGAATGTTTCATCACTCCAAGTGATGCGAAAGCAAGGTGTCGTTGTACCTTCGGCACGTCGACGAAGAATCCTCTGCTATGTGATTGGTCTGTCAGGAAATCGCGGAAAGATGCATGAAGGGGTCGGATTGGGGTAGATGGGTCGGTGGCGCCGCCGAGGAGGGATCCCATGTGTTCTACTGTGACCTCCACTTTGTAACGCTCGCTTTCATCTGAAAAATAGCTTCACATGGTATTCAGGGAATTCAAAGGGAGGGGTTCGGCTGTGCCGAGAATCTGTCCTATCGCGGAGCGAAACATCGCTAACTGTGTTTGCTGAAACTTGGAGCTTTTGTGTCTATCCTTTGGCATAATCTGCGTCAGAATTAAGTCATACATATCGTACAACAGGTGCTCCCGTTCGACAGGATCGCGGGACACCATGACATTGAACGATTGATCGGAAGGTAAGCCAGGAGGAGGTGCTTCGATGGATTCCCAAGCAAGACGTGCCCACTCGAAAAGACCATCAGCTTTCTTAGCGAGGGCTGTGAACTCTTTGCTCCCAAAATATGGAAGCCCTTCCAGCGTCTTTGACACGTAAGCGCAGATATCGCGTTCCGTGACTCCTGGTGGAATTCCGTCCATGTAAATCCTTCGAATGTGTTGAGCGCTCGCAAACGAATTTTGAATGTCGGGAAGCGGGCAAAAGGTGACGATAAACCGAAAGTTCTTTGGGAGCTCTGTGATTCGGGTAACAACAAGGTTCTGAAGTTTACCAGAAAAAGCTCGCTGCGTGTCTCCACTGCCTCACCACTTTCGTCCAGTGCGTCGATAACGATAACGACAGGTCCCATGGTTGACTCAGAAAGCTTCCCTAGTGGTTCCACAAAAAACTTCTGCCACTGCTGTACGACATCTGCTGTAGCCTTGAGCGCAGTTTCGTTCTTGACTGCATCCGCTGACACTCGTCTCATCTCCGGATGACGATCAGCCAGGTCGCGCGCGATTGTGGTGAAGACCTTTTGATAGCGATCGTTTGTGTTTCGGTCGAAGTAGTAACAAGAACCACCCTGATGAACGAGCTAGCGATCGTGTGAGCAACGGCTGATTTATCCGTCCCTGCAGGGTCGGATAGCCATGATAGCACGCGTGGAACATCATCTCTGCTGTCATTGATCCATCCCACGATATTGGAGAGAATGTCCGTGCGCGTCCGTCCCTGACAGGCATCGCTTTCTACTATCTAGTCCTGCAGCCTCTGCATAACCCACAGCATTGAATTCCAGTATTTCACCTGTAGAAGTATGAATGGATGTCGAGTCAGAAGCACGTCCGAATCCTTGTACGGTGAATGTAGATGGCTATGTCGCGAGCAACTTGGCCGCGGAAATTTTGCATGAGTGCATCCAACACTTCGTTACACTGTTGTATCGTATCGTTTGTTTCCGAGATGATGTTCTTTCTGAGCTCTCCCCTATGATACGATTGAAGATCTGCGAAGTGTAACGACTCATTAGAGACTCACAATAAAATTTTCTTCTCCGAATAATCCCCGATGAAATTGGCGCATTCTAGGGTCCGTTGAGAGATCTGTCCCAAGATGGTCCTCGTCGACGAAATCTTGAGAAGCGTGTCGTCTTGCGTCATGAGGCCATACACTTGACCCAACTTCTTGTAGAGGTCGAGTATCGCTTCGTCGCGATCTGCTTGAGCAAGAATTATCTGCATGCAGAACAACTGAGCAGGAAGTACGAATAGCGGCAAAGAAAACGTACTTTTGATGCGCAAGATAGCACGCACAATGCCAGCTTTGCATACGATGTACCTGCAGAACGGTCTTAGTCCAGTTCTAAAGTGGAAAAGAGAGATCATACCTCTGCGATCGTCCCGATCACAGCATCGAATATCCTGAGGAGTTGAATATGAATGGCCTCTACACTATCTATATCATCGAGCGCTGCTGGTTCATTTTTGCATGCGGACAATACGGGTCTTGCGCGTCCCAAAAGTCATCTGATCCACACCATGACCGGCATCCCGAGGTGCCTTGTTGACAGATTGGGGATCGGCGCCTTGTTTCACAACAGCAGAAGTATCCTGAATCCGTGTGGTCAGCAGAAGTTAGACAGAGAGAGCGGAAATCGGAATGTCATCTGTGTGGACCGTTGAACTTCGTTTGTGTAAGATTATCCCTGGGATCCTAGTACACTCAGTATTGATTTCGAGTCTCGACTTACAGAAATCCTTTTGATTGCATCATTCCTAACCTTCCCCAGAAAACGACAGATTTTGCCACGGGGTCGGTCCTAAAGATGGATGATTGACATTGCGTTTCAGCCATATGTCGATCAATCATCCTCATGCCACGAGTCCCGGGCGCTCAGTAGCGTTTGTTTCGTTGGGTGTCTCGATGTCCGGAGGAGGAACTGACCTCGAGTTCCCCAATTGATTGGGGTCGTTCGTGGTGAATAGTTGAGGTTAATGATCAACGTGGTGTAAGACAAGAAGTTGGAGAAAGGGTGGGTCTTGAGGCAATATTTGCTGCTGTGTTGACTTCAGGCGCTAATTACATTGGGTGGGCGGCGAAGAGTCCAAAGCCTATTCGGTGACCAAGTTGGACCTGGTTAACTGAGATCTGGTGAAGTCAAAATGCAAACTGTCGTACTATTCCTGCAGGCTCAGGCCGGCTCCCCCGATGGCCCGGGACTGACAGACTACAGTCAAGTTTAAGGAAAACCAAAGGAAAAGAGTCATACCTTTTTCCAGCCGACGGACAGACTCAGGCTATTTTCCGACACCTCGGAGTTGCCTCGGAGTTTAGCTTGCTGTAGACTTGCGCGTACAACTGTGACACACGGTGACCGGTACTATTGACAAAGCAATGTCGTCGGCCAATCATCTAATCATCCCAACCGCCCTGTATATAAACAGCTAGCTGTGCTCGATATCTACCTTCTGTTGTTTCTCCATTTCTTGTTACATTTATTTATCTCATCACTATGGGTTTCTTCTCAAAGTCATTCGACCCAGTCACTGACCTCCCAGACTTGTCTGGTAAAGTCATACTTATCACAGGTGGCAAGTGAGTACTATCTGTCTCATGACCCGAATTTTATTCACATAGCTGCTTTGTAGTGCAGGTATCGGCTACTCGACTGTGAAGCACCTGGCACGTCGTGGTGCCAAGGTGTACATGGCCGCACGCAACCGAAGCAAGGCAGAGGAGGCGATCGCGCAATTGAAAGCAGAGGGACTGGGTCCTGGGAACGGCGATGTTATCTGGTTGGAACTCGATTTGAAGGACCCTCGAAATGCGAAGAAAGCAGCAGAGGTATTTATGAAGCAGGAGAAGAGATTGGATGTTCTCAGTCAGTATATGTTTTTGTTCGTTCACGATTTTGGCATGCTGAATGAATCACAGTTCACAATGCTGCAGTGTAAGCTGTTCCGCTTGTATGGGCGTGGTCGGTACTGAATGCCCTATAGGATGATTGAAAGTTATGCCATGACACCAGATGGTAAGTTTTGGTCTCGCTCCGTAGAGATCTGCACTTACACAACATCCTAGGAGTTCAGGAGATAGTGATGGTCAAGTGCGTCTTCTGGCTAAAAAAACATGTACCAAGCACTCACCTATTCATTCCAGCGTCATCAGTCATGTCGTCCTCACACGCACCCTTCAACCGCTACTGGACCAGACAGCAGCTGAACCAAATTCAGATGTCCGCATAGTCATCGTATGTGAATCTACTTCACCGCATGCATCCCGAAAACTCACAGTTCCATACTACCATCCAGGTCGCTTCAGAAGCCCACCGGTTTGTATCAGAGGAAACTCATTTCCGCAACCTTGATGATCTTAACAACGAGCTCAAGAGTTCGCTTTCACCCAGCTTCGCGCGTTATGGTACGTCGGTCGTACATTGGCATATTTTGTCTCACGAAATCCCTTCACTAGGCGTGTCGAAACTCATGAATATGCTCTATGCTTTTGAACTTCAACGACACCTCACCGCTGTTGGCTCTCCCATCACTGTTATCGCCATTCACCCTGGAGCAGTCAACACCTTCACCCATAAACCACCCCTTTCTCACATCCAGTTCATCGTTAAGCCTATCGTGTCCCTCTTCTTTTTACGACCAGACCAGGGTGCGTACAACTCGGCGTTTGCAGCTGCATCGGAAGAAGTTGCCAAGCAGCGCGAGAAGTACAAGGGCATGTATTTAACACCGGTGGGTAAGATAGCAGAGCCAACGAAGGTGGCAACGGATGAGGGGCTTGCCAAGGAGCTTTGGGATACTGTGGATAAGTTTTTGGAGGAGAAGGGGATTTGATGGATGTTTTGTTTTATTGATGAGCTGAGATTAATACAGCCGTACCTCCAAGAGGTGTTGAATGGACAAGGACGTTAATCTGGGCACTAAATTATGATGAAACAATCATCCTTGTTGATGCATGGCACTGGTGCCCATCCAGCCTGCGCGCTTTTCCTTTCCATTTTTAGTACATCTTTTCATCGCGTTTTACATCTTACTGTATGTCATTTCTTCATAATCGATTTGTCGGCTCTTCGTCTGTTGCGAACGTTGAATCACTGCAGTGCCCAGCTGTGCGAGACGGTATGATACACCTCCATGTAGTGGAACAGAGCGTGCTCCCGTTACCTTTCTTCCCTGTGCATAAAAAACGATGTGATGGGCAGAACTGGCGGAACTTGGCATTCTGTCAGTGTGGTAGGTAGCAGAATTGACCAAAAAAATTGACGGCTACATTGATGTTCTACTATCTGTTGAGTAGACTCGTAACTGGCAGTCTTTACTACGTCTGAGATGTTGTTAAATGTTTGACGTAATAAGACTGGTCGATCTCGGATTCTCGGAGGGGGGGAAAGCACAGAGTTTAAATTTCAGCAGGTGCTGTCGTGTTGGTGATACTCATCATTCGGTAGTAGAGTCTAGTGCGTCTAGACTCTGTATCTACATCATCTTGGCTCCGGACACGTCTACAACACCAATTGAAATATTGTTGTATATCATTTGGACTCTGGACTTCTTGAAGTACGGTACGAGGTCCTTAGGAAGCACTTGCCTTATATGGTATGAATTTGACTGACAAATAGAGTGCGGTGGTCCCTGGTGGTCCTGCACTTGCGCCTGCCAGCACCGCGTATTACTTACTATGTGAACTGACACACGTACTATTGACAAAACATGTCGTCGCCCAATCATCTAATCATCCTGATCGCCTGATATACAAACAGTTAACTATGCCCGATATCTACATTCCATTGTTTCTCCTTTCAAGTGGCATTCATTTATTTCAGCACCATGGGTCTCTTCTCAAAGTCATTCGACCCAGTCACTGACCTCCCAGACTTGTCTGGTAAAGTCATACTTGTTACAGGCGGAAAGTGAGTATGTCACTCATGACACGGATTTTATTCACACAGCTGCTTTGTAGCAGAGGTATCGGCTACTCGACTGTGAAGCACCTGGCACGTCATGGTGCCAAGGTGTACATGGGCGCACGCAACCAAAGCAAGGCAGAGGAGGCGATCGCACAATTGAAAGCAGAGGGACTGGGTCCTGGGAACGGCGATGTTATCTGGTTGGACCTCGATTTGAAGGACCCTCGAAATGCGAAGGAAGCGGCAGAGGTATTTATGAAGCAGGAGAAGAGATTGGATGTTCTAAGTCAGTATATGTTTTTGTTTGTTCACGATTTTGGCATGCTGAATGAATCACAGTCCACAATGCCGGGACGTAAGCTGTTCCGCTCGCATGGGCGTGATTGATACTGAATGCCCTAAAGGTCGACTGAGACTTACGCCATAACGCCAGATGGTAAGCTTTGGTCTCGCTCCATAAAGATCTACACTTACGCAACATTCCAGGAATTCAGGAGACACTGGTGGTCAAGTGCATCTTCTGGCAAAAAACATGTACCAAGCACTCATCTATTCATTCCAGCGTCATCAGTCATATCGTCCTGACACGCACCCTTCAACCGCTGCTGGACCAGACAGCAGCAGAACCAAATTCAGACGTTCGCATAGTCGTCGTATGTGAACATCGTGCACCCGTGCACCCCGAAAACTCACAGTTCCATACTACCATCCAGGTCACTTCATGCGGCCACCGGTTTGTACCAGGGAAACCTCGTTTCCGTAACCTTGATGACCTTAACACCGAGCCCAAGAGTTGGTTTTCACCCAGCTTCGCGCGGTATTGTACGTCGGTCGTCCATTGGTATATTTTGTCTCACGAAATCCCTTCACTAGGCATGTCGAAACTCATGAATATACTCTACGCTTCTGAACTTCAGAGACACCTCACCGCTGTTGGCTCTCCCATCACCGTTATCGCCGTTCACCCTGGATCAGTCGACACCATCCGCCCTAAACCACCCCTATCCCGCATCCAGCTCATCATCATATCCATCGTGTCCCACTTCATTTTAAGTCCAGACCAGGGTGCATATACCTCGGCGTTTGCAGCTGCGTCGGAAGAAGTCGCCAAGCAGCGCGAGAAGTATAAGGGCATGTATTTGATACCGTTCGGCAAGATAACGGACCCGACGAAGGTGGCGAGGGATGAGGGGCTTGCAAAGGAGCTTTGGGATACTGTGGATAAGTTTTTGGAGGAGAAGGGGATTTGATGGATGTTTTGTTTTATTGATGAGTTGATGCTTGACGAACAGCCGTACCTCTAAGAGGTGTTGAACGGACAAGGATGTTAATCTGGGCACTAAAATATGATGGAACAATCATCCCTGTTGATGCATGGCACTGGTGCCCATCCAGCCTGCGCGCTTTCCCTCTCCTTTTTAGTACATCTTTGCATCGTGTTTTACATCTTACTGTATGCCATTTCTACATCATCAATTTGTTGGCCCTTCGTCTGTTGCAATTAATGTCGAACATCGAATCATTACAGTACCCAGCTGTGCGAGTTGCAGCAACAACTTATATACTTCATAGTCTGAATCATGAAAACTCAGGTGGTCGATCTCTAGAAATCGCAGATCAAGAGCGCTCGAGCGGGAGTAGCCAAGACCTGTTTGAAAGCGAGCATATGGTGATATGAGAAAAGCCGGGTTGCTGGCTGTGTAAGACAGCAAGATGTCTTTAGATCATGGTAGATGGCACGAATGACGGTATGGTACACCCCCATGTAGTGGAACGGAGCGTGCTCCCGCTACCTTTCTTCCCTGTGCATAAAAAATTCAAACGATGTGATGGGCAGAACTGGCGGAACTTGGCAAAACCATTGTGGCAGGTGGCAGAATTAACGAAAAAAAATTACGCTATATTGATGTTCTACTACCTGTTGAGTACATCTTGAGTTCTATCGCATTCTGCTCGGACGGGAGATAGCACTACTGCGGCAGTTTCCCCAAGGTCTGCTATAATTAGCCTACACAACCGTGAAATAGACTTACCTACGTTGTCCAGCGCAGATAAGAAGCGTTCTGAACATACTGCTGGCAGTCCGGACTCCGCACGTTCTGGAGGCTAAACATGGGGTTGCAACGTGTCACAGGCTTGTCCAGCTGACTCGGAATTCTACATTCTGAATGAAGAAGTTCAGTAACCAAGAAAACACCGTTAACAATAGTGCTGATAAGGTCAGCAGGTGGATCTCGCGACGGGCCACCTCAGAGAGGGCATGCGTAATTCTGCATCACAGGTGACAAAATTGCACTCGAAAAAAATGCGAGGATGCTGATATGGTTGTATTGTTGATTGTTAGTCAGTCACCGAAAACAGGCGAGGATCTCACTGCGGTCAGGGGAACTGCTCTGACGGGACGTATAGTGAAACGTCCAGTTCTGTTAGTACTGTGTTTGTCAAGCTGATTTTGGGCACATGATAGCCTTGCTGGCCTTCCGAATCATGGGATTGACAGTTGCCTAGATAGTCTCTAGTCAGATGATCTGCAAGTCACCCACGAAAGAATATCTACCGCTAGCACCATTACGCTCTCTTAACCATTATCATCGCCACCGGCCATTCAATGTCTACTTCATCATGTCCTTCCACGGCTCTCCCATCCTCCCGTTCGGCACCCTCCTTAAGATCTTTCCAGAACCGCATTGCAACATCTCCACGCGGGTTCTCCGCATCCGTGGGGTTGTGCTGACGGAACGTATGCAACGAGCTCCATGTATTGAGATAAGATAGCAGGTCATCCCACGTCATCTTCTTGTGCAAGATCACGGAGTGTGGGGAAGGGAGAGATGGGTAGTGGTCACCTGCTATGCATTAGTACAGTGTCACGTATCGATAAGTTCAAGACAGACCTGTGAAGAAGACTCTCTCAAAGTCAGTGAACGCACCAGGTACAACTTCATTGCCATCTGGCACCTCAACCAGGTGGTTTTCTAAAATTGAACGACCGGGTTGCTGCCAGTATGGGGCAACGCTGTTCAGTGGGTCGATCCCTTGGCTATAAGCGTTGATGTTCTGTGTGAGTGACGGATAACGGGTGAAGCGGAACTCGGAATAAATCTAGGTCAAATAAATGTTAGGAATGACTGGACAAGTAATGACTCGGAGATGGGAATACAGACCCAGAATGCAGCACTGCCGTTCTTCCTCAGCACCCTTGCGAGCTCAGGCCACATTTTGTTCCAATCGAACCAATGACATGCCTGGGCTATAGCCAGACGGACATCATGAACAAACAGTGATATCAAGTTTATCCTGTCTAACACACGCACCAGCAATGACTAGATCCACACTGCTATTCTCCAAGAATGTTAGACTCTCTGCGCTCGCCTGTATGTACTCATATTGACCAGTGCTCTCTGGAATACTCTTGAGGATACCTTGAGCGACTTCGATCATCTTAGAGCTTGGGTCGACGCCAGTGACGCGCTTGAAAGGTGTGAGCTCGACTGTTGCTTGACCTGGAATCCCGAATGATCAACATTAGGTCGAGAGTCCAAACCCTCTAAATTGAGCACAGTTAGAACTGACCCGTCCCACAACCAAGGTCCACTGCTCTATCCCATCTTGCACCCTTGTTGCGTTCGTGGTACTGGAATATGAAGTCAAACAGGGACCTAGGGTAGGTCGGCCTGGAAGTCGCATAGATGGAGGTGTCAAAAGAGGAATTAGCAAAAGTCGCCATCGCAGAGGCAGCGAGTGTCCACGTAACAGACGATAACGCTAAGGACTATTCATGAGGACATGCGGGGAATATAAATACTCGGAGAGCGTGTCAGATGGTCTTGAGATGACAGTCGATGTAAATATGGTCGTCGGTGCTATCGGAAGTACTTCCGAGTTCACTTGGGGATCTGAGCAAGAAGTACCTGCTCGGGGGAAAAGTTATTAGGGAGCTCAGTATTAAAATTCCCAACGCCCGGAATAAGTGATGTTGTACTTCGGCCGGGAGCACTGGCAGCAGGCTGAGTTGTGAAATTTGAAATTCCCTCCCAACCACAACCACATTCGGAATTTAATTTTTGTACCAATCATTTTTCCCTTGGTAAGTACCGGTGACTCTGAAACGAGCCATGGTAGCGTTCAGCGAATCCAAGAAGTCCACTGTTGGCTGTTACCGTTCTCGCGTTAGCCCCGTGCTGATTGGGCTAGGTCTACAAAGTCTGCTCAGTGATATATTGACGGAGGCCCATCTGGTCCAAGTTGGTCACCTACAAGCAGCGACTGCACCAGTACCCGTTTGCACTCTACCGAATGTCGCCAATCCACATACCGAAGCCGGACCAGTGACCACACCTACCATGCGAGACCTACCATGCCTGTCATCATCCGAACGGTCTTTAGCGACACCACCGTCTGGCCTGACCCGATGGTCTACATCTGAACACGTCTTTTTGGGGTCGCAGACAAAGATGTGGAATACCCTCATCCTCTATGACGTATGGAAGAATGGACTCGATAAGAACCGCGCAGAGCAGGCGTAATACACTTGATGGTGCATCTCTTCTCATCTTCACAATTGCTCGTATCCAGCCTCTATTGCCTACTTTTCCCATCATACTTCAGCTTATTCAGGAGTTACTTTTGTGGTGTCTCTAGCGTACCTACGCTTCACGATGCTGTCAACGACTCGATCGATATGTCCGCGTCATTTCCTGTCATCTTGGGTTTCTGTCTGATACCTTCCCCTTTGTCGAGACAATGATACAATGCCGTGATCACCTCCTGTATGATTTGTCTGTTCTAAATTTACTGCGGTTTCCCGGACTTTCATGCACATGACTTACTCCCCCAGGCGGCGTGCTGTCCCGACGAGCATCGACAATGTTGTCATGCCGTCTGCTTTAGCATTGAAGTATCCAAGCCCGTTCTCGATTTCTCATGATTGAAAATAAGAATGAACAGCGATCATTTGACGAGCGCAAGCCTAAGTCTACGTAGTACAAAACAGAACGAAAACGGGTGTTGAAACCCAATACAGTCTGCAGCCCTCAGCAGTTGAAGCTGGCAGTGCCGAGTATAGTACATAGCATTGGAAAAAGCATTAGAAACATCACGGTCCGCACCGTCCAACAGTTGAAGCTGGCGTGCTTGGTATCGTACACAAGACGAGCACATAACAAACGCATCGAAAAATGGGAAACTTGGCTCGAAGTACCATCTACTTCTAGTCCTTTGTTGCAGGCTGTTGGTAAACTTCGACTTCACAATGAGGCGAGGAACATACACAAGTGATTTTCAAGGGTGAGCTCAAGAATCTTCTTCCCCAGTTCCTCTCCCTCGTAGCCTTGACGAGAAATCTCTGTCGCTCCTTTCTCCACTGCGACAGCCATCGGAGATTTCAGGTAGTAGTCCACGGCAGACTCGATGCACTGCCAATTCTTCCGGCGGTTCTTGCGAATCGGGAGAAAGGCAGAGTACTCGAGGATGATGATAGTAGCTGCTTCCTGTAATTAGAGCTACAGCTAGTCATACAGCGAGAAACTAACCAATGACAGTCTGAATACTGATGTTCGCAGCAGTGGACGATGATTCCTTCGCTGCCTATTGCACCCTCTTATATGACTTGCAACTCTGCGACTCGCGTGATAGCACATTTGATACAAAGCTCCATGTTTAATTGTTGTGTTGAAATCAAGCACAACGGCAATTCTTTATTGTCCAATGCGAGAGTGGTGCGTTCCAGTAGAGTATTCGGTTTGTTCATATCTATGATGGTGACTGATATCAGCTTTGACATGGGATGAGTCAATCTGAACCACTTACTCTCCAAGCGTACATAGGACTTGGGACGTGCACAGTTTTTCAGAGTCGCACAACCGATCTAAGACACCTGTGTTTGTGAATAGTTCTTCGACACGCCGGGCAATCCTCTTCGAACATTCTTCTCCATATGTAGCTGGGCGCAGAGCTTCGAACTTGGTGAATACCACGACTACTACAGGAACTGAAGATTGATCATTGAGTCTGAGCATGGCAAGTGACAACGAAGTTGCAAGCTCACTGTGCCTGGTGTTGCATTCCTGGAAGAACTTCTCTTCCGACCGCTGGAATGTTCGACAATGTTCGTCCATCGGAATACAATACCTAATGGCAATCACAATGCGCGCGCAACATCGGAAGGGGGCTACTTACCAGATAGCGTGAATTTGCTCCTCCAATTTCGTCGTGTATGCGTCCTGAGATAAATTTCTTCATATTCTCAAATTCTTCTTCAGAGCCTGCTTCGAAACCGCACGAGTGGTGAAAGATGAAACCGGGATTGCTTTTGAGCACCATTTCGTTTTCGATGTCGTGATTTCCACGCTGAGTGTCTATCAGCGCATGTATTCCCTCAGGGCAAATGGTGCACACACCTTGATCGAGGATTCCACGACGGCAGCATCAATCTACCCACAATTGATAAATGATATCCTGTGCATGATATAGATCCTCACTCGCACCTTGTTTCCTTTGTTATCGTAAATTTCTGGGCGTTCCATGGTGTTGCAGACCTTCTGAAGGATGGTTGTTTTGCCTGCGTTTGCTCTCCCTAGGATCAGAACTCGAAAGCGCACAAATCTTTCTCTGAGCTCCTGGGAATCGATGGTTGCCATTGGGAGATCTTGATGTGCGTCCTGAATTTGGTTTATCGTGAAATATGCACTGTCGTACAGAACGGGATTGTGGTGAGATATGACGGCGAACGAACACAAAGCAAGCGTTCCTGTGGCTTATGACAAAACAGCTACACACAGCGTCTATCTCTTCAAGTCTATCTGCCTGCGTTAGGCAACTGATGATACCCTTGCACAGACACGAAGTTGCAACTGTTCAATCGTTCATACGATAAAGCACAAGGATTACACAATAAACGACGCCGAATAATGAGAACGTTGATTAATATATACACTATAATAAACAATCAGAACATAGCGGAAATGATAGAATATCCCTCTTCCCTACCCGTCTGGCTGAAAAGTAGTGATATCGGAAACCTCTGTAGATGGTGGTGAGCTGTATCCTCCAAGATCTGCCAGATGATTGATCCTTGAGATGTATGAGAGCAAACAAGAGCCAAGAGCAAGTCAGGGTATGGGGCTCCCTCTGGAAGTGACATCCTGTGGTGCTTGACAGGGTCTGCACGTTTGGAGTCCCCCTGGATGATGATGGTCCGGGTATGAACTAAGGGGTGACGGAGCAGCAGGTTTCGCACGTGCTGGCTGAACTCAAACGTCGACCACACTCGTTGGTACTGAGAGAAAGGCTAATGCAGCGGGCCGCAGCAGCTTGTGTATAGCTTGGGGCAGGTTTGGTACGCATCCCCAGACGAGTCCGACTGTCCAACATACTGTATAAATTGACGTATATATTGTCAAGTGTCTGGGAAGACGTACCGGCCAACATGCACTTAGATTCGGAGGGCTGGCGTGCGGCTTACTGTCCGCCCAAGAATCCTTGAATACTGACTCCTGAAAAGAGTGGACAAGGCTTCTTGTAGCCTCGAAAGTTGCATATAGTAGCATCCGGTCCTGCGCACCACCGTTTAACTGGACCCTCCTTCAATTGTTCCCGCCCTGGTGCCCCATTGATGGCGCTCAGGCTGGCTCCTTCTCGGTTCATACTATCGATACTGTCGAAAGTCAACAGGGAGCTCGCTATGAAGTTCATAGCGAGCTCCCTGTTGACTTTCGACAGTATCGAGATCGTGATGTAAGTGATGAAGTACATGACCCTGCGCCTGGAATGCACGAAATCGTATGCTTTGGCAAGAATACAGTGAGTATGAAAACTCGCGGCACAAGCCAAGACTCACTAATTTGAAAGATATTCGTGACTGCATGCCTTGAATCCAGCCATTTCGAAAAAAGTCGACAGAATTGCGGGATGCAGTGCTGAATGCTGAGTGTATGGTATGGGCGAGATCATCTCTGCTGCTTCCTGCCGGTGCGGTGAAAATCCTCCGGGTGGCCTAGTACTAAGCGGCTATGCCATTTTCGTGGATATAGTCAATAAACTGGACAGACTTGAAGCAACTGTTGTATCCGTATGGTGTTTTAATAGCCCTTCGAGTCCGCGAGCAGTAGACAGTGACTTTGCTGCAGCGTAGAAACTGTGGTGTTGAATTGAAATACCGTACGAGTCGGGACCTTCTATTTTAGTCGTAACTCGAGTTTATGTAAACGTTTTTAAAAGAAAATTAATATCAATAATTCAAACTAAAGTTTACTAAACAGTAAACAAGGAACGTCCCTGCCGACGAAGTCCAGCCCTTTCCTCCGATAGTATCATGTCCAGCTGAATTCTGCGGGTATGAACGAAGTCCAGTAACCAAGGTCATGTTGATTATGGTACAGTTGGTTCGTCCGACGTCACCGAGGGTCTCCCTGCAGCCAGGGTGACGAGACTTTGCAGTAATAGCATGATGAAACGTCCAAGCCCGTGCGTTCTTTCAGTGGTGCATTTGATAAACTGATCTTGGAGACATAACAACCTCGCTAGTCATCCGAATCGTGGTATTGTCAGTACTTCACCTACACAAGCTAGTAGCCTCTAGTCTGATAATTTACAAGCCGCCAACAAAGGCACATCTACGGTTCGCCCTCTAGCGCTATCACGCTCTCGTAGCCATTACCACCGCCACCGGCCATTCAATGTCTACTTCATCATGTCCTTCCACGGCTCTCCCGTCCTCCCGCTCGGCACCCTCCTTAAGATCTTTCCAGAACCGCACCGCAACATCTCCACGCGGGTTCTCCCTATCTGCGGGGTTGTGCTGACGGAACGTGTGCAATGCACTCCACGTATTAAGATACGATAGCAGGTCATCCCACGTCATCTTCTTGCGCATGATGACGGAGCGTGGGGAAGGAAGAGATGGGTAGTAGTCGCCTGCGATGCATTAGTGAAGCTGAAATGTCGCGTAACGATATAAGACAGACCTGTAAAGAAGACTCTCGAGAAATCGCTGAACGCGCCAGGTACAACTTCATTGGCATCTGGCACTTCAATCAAGTGGTTATCTAAAATCGCACGGCCGGGTTGCTCCCAGTATGAGCCAATGCTATTCAGCGGGTCAGTGCCTTCGACATAAGCGTTAATTATCGGTGTGAGTGACGGATAGCGGGTGAGGCGCAATTGGGAGTAACCCTAGTCAAGTAAAAGGTAAGTGTGACAGGACATGTAATGGCTCGGAGATGGGAGCACGTACCCAGAATGCAACACTTCCATTCTTCCTCAGCACTCTTGCAACCTCAGGCCATATTTTGTTCCAATCGAACCAATGGCATGCCTGGGCTACAATCACACAGTCATCGTGAACAAATAGCAGTTTCTCCTTCTAACATGTGACACGCACCGGAAATGACGAGATCCACACTACTGTCCTCCAAGAATGTTAGATTCTCTGCGCTCGCCTGTATGTACTCGTATTGACCAGTGCTCTCTGGGGTATTCTTGAGGGTACCTTGAGCAACTTCGATCATCTTAGGACTCGGGTCGACGCCAGTGACGCGCTTGAAGGGTGTGAGCTCGACGGTTGCTTGACCTGAAATCCCGAGTGATCAACATTAGGTCAAGTGTCCAACCCTCCAAATTGAGTACAGCTAGAACTGACCCGTCCCACAACCAAGGTCCACCGCTCTATTCCATCTTGCACTATTGTTGCGCTCGTGGTACCGGAATATGAAGTCAAACAGGGACCTAGGGTAGGTCGGCCTGAAGGTCGCATAGATGGCGCTGTCAAAGGAGGATTTGGCGAAAGTTGCCATTGCAGAGGTGGTAACAGGTGTCCACGCAGTCGACGGTGGCACTTAAGGACTGTTCACAAGGATGCACGGGGGGTATAAATACTCCAAAGAGCGTCTAATTGGTATTGAGATGATGGGCGATGACATGAGGTCGTCGGTACTATCGGAAGTACTCATGTACGTATCGGGCACCCCCTTGAGATAGAACTTCCAAGGAGCGACTATCAAGGAGTTAAGGTCTGGAGACCTCGTCGGGCAGTCGGACCTTAGGATTTTGCCGCATTGTCCATAGAGGTCTTGGGTTACCGGGGTATGATTATTGATTACCGTGACAGCAGTTTGAGAAAGTAACGCCACTAGCTAGTACTGGTGAGAGCGCCCAAAGGGAAATCCTCTAAGTCAGAGTATGACGCTAGCTTTCCCGAATCCCGATATGTACAAGACGAATGGTATTGACAAATAAAAAGACTTGTTTTCTTCTGCATCTACAGTACGTACATTCCTCGCAATGAAAGACTTCTGGTGCCCTCGGTTGCACGGCTGTCGAGAAACCCAACTCGTATATATACATACTCAGTCCTACAATCTGATATCTCATGTACTTCCGCCTTGGTGCCTCTCGGTCAAAAACTCGACGAACTGTCACCAGTCAAGTCACCGTAAGATAGACTGAAATAAAGGTTGAGCATGATATCGGGTGTATACAGTAAGGTAACATGGATATTACTTACAAGACGATTCCTGCTCTATTGCTGATCATTTTCCGCCGCAAAGGGCCAATCCGAATAACCTGCCGGTGTGAGATTACCGCCCATGTACCATGTTGCCCGGTCACCCCGCTCAAGCGCGATGCCATTTCGCAGGCGGAATGGAAGATCGGGCTAGTAATGGGGACATATTGGTCACTGCCTAGTCTGGGAAACAAGTGACTCACGTTCGGCATAAACAACCTCCCAAATCCAATAAGGCCACCTTTCTTGTCTACCGTCTCAATTGCGGTATTCCGGGTATATCCGTTTGTGCTGATGAAGGTACTGCCCTCAACCCCTTGCCAGATGTCGCGGAGGAAATCGCTATTTTTTTCAGCAGTGACTTCGGCAGGCATCGGCTCCACGACATGGATGTATGCGAGTTTGTATTTGCGCAGCTGCTCAACCACGTAGGAGAACTGGGGTTTGGGGTCTGCCATGCCCATACCTGCACCACAAATCAGCTAAATAAAGATCGTTAGTATTGAATGATGTGGGACGTACCATTGAGTACGCCCCAGGGGCTCATTCGGAACCCCGTTCTCTCAGCACCAACGGCCTCCACAACGGCATCCGTTACTTCGAGTGCAAACCTTGCGCGATTCTCAGTGCTTCCGCCATATTCATCTGTGCGTTGGTTACTGACGTCTTGCATGAACTGGTCGAGCAAATAGCCATTTGCGCAGTGAATTTCAACGCCATCGAAACCAGCTCGAATGGCATTTTTTGCGGCGGTGGTATAGGTGGTAACGTACTCCTTGATTTCGTCCATGGTGAGTGCGCGTGGCACGTCTGTTTGACCTGGCACGGAGATGGGTGAGGGACCGATGAGGGGACTATTGCCCTCCTTGGCAAGAACGGCCGTTTCTGCGGTGCGGCCGAGCGCCCAGAGTTGTAGGAAAATGAAAGAGCCCTTCTCATGGACTGCTTCTGTCACCTGCAGTCCGGGGCGTGAGTCGGCTCTCATCATTATTAAGCAAGATACAACATACCTTTTTCCATCCCTCCACATGGGCATCGGTATATATCCCAGGGACATTATCATAACCACCAGCCCTCTGAGATATGAATGTTGCCTCTGTGATAAGAAGGGTGCCAGGGGTAGACCCTCTCTGAGAGTAGTACGCTGGTGCTTGTGGGGTTGGGACGTGATCTGCGTGTGCACGTTTACGGGTAAGTGGGGAAAGGACGACGCGGTGCTGCAAGTTGATGTTGCCTACGCGGATGGGGGAGAAGAGTGCGGATGTCGAAGAATCAGACATGGTGATCTATTGAAAACTAGGTATGAAATGGTATTGATTGGAGAACTGGAGACGGGAATCGACATCGTGTATTTTATAGGCTGAAGACGTTTGAAACAGATAGATAGATTTGTCAGGTTGGGCATAGGCCATCAGATGGCACCCAGCAACGGCAAGCCTAGGTGCGCAGCGCTGCAAGATATAGCGCTGGGCTGAGTGATTGTGAGTAACGATGGCGGAAGGATTTCAGATTACGATTATAGATATTTATAATTTCACAGCCACAATGATTGGGGATACTATACGTTGCACATCAACCAATCCATTCTCCGAGTCAGGGTAAGTTGTTCAAGCGATATCGTTTCTAACATATCGCTGTAAAGTGCTAGATTGACAGTGTTCAAGACATTGGCACTGTATAAGCGTAGTGCAATGCTATTTGCAGCCGCCAGTCGATAAAATGGATCCTGACCTTGACCGTGATGATATGATACGCGAAACGCGTATCACAAAATTTCATTTCCGACAAAGCGTGGAGGCATCACCATGCAGAACTTTAAAGTCATATCACGCGCAAGGGGCATCCTACGCCACTGCTGCGAGTGCTGCGGCAACTGCCGTGACTACTGCTGCGGTGCCGCCGGTGCGCATCAAATACACTTTACTATCTAGTCGACACTTGTTACTTGTCCTCCAAACAAGTCATGGACTTGAGCCTGCTCCGATTCCTTATATGTTTACCCACGCTCTCAGAGTCACCGTCAGGCGGCATCGAGATTCACAGAAGTACTTCAGGTCTGCAAGCCAGGTATCCCATATAAACTCTTCCTTGTCGCTAAACAATCTTTCATATTGCACTGTAGTCTGATTCCTCCGCATACAATGTTGTTTTCTTTTCTTTTCAACGACAGTCGCGGGCATTATCTCAACCCGTGACCAGTGCCACTTTTCTTCGCTTTCTCGGTTCTCCATGGGATTTTGTTACCTGTCGTTTCCGAGGTGCTGGCGTTTGTTGCTCGACATTGTTGCTGTCACTGGAACCTGGCTCGCGCTGAGCTGATTGCTAACAAGAACCGTTTCGAAAGTCAGAAAGCATAGTACCTCAAGGACGCTTTCATCATAATCGGAATATCCTTCATCACAATCCTCATGGTTCCAGTGGAATGGAAGCCCAGCATATAGGTCCCAAGGGTACCAGGCCACCGCGAAACAGACGGTGTCTGCGGACCTATGCTTCTGGAATGAGCTTTGCCGAAGGGCGGGACATCGATTTAAGAATGGAAATGCGGTCACCATACATTTCCATTCTTAAATCGATGTCCCGCCCTTGCGGCAGGGCTACAAAGGATTTTCTCGACAGAAAGAGCACCGTCGCGGACGATTCTCAAAGCTCTCGTCAAATTCGGGAGTACTAATTTGTATTAGTTGCACAAAAAAAGATCTAATTCGAACAGGTTTACATGAGAGGGTTTTCCTGATGTGGGCCACAAGAGTCGCCACTCGAGCTATGACTGTGAAGGGGAATGTGGAACTCGGGTTACTGAACATATGTTTCGGCTGGTCAGATGTGCATATCTTGGCAAGAGCTTCAGGGGGGGGGGGGGGGGGCTCTGAAGATTCTCCCAGTATCACAGTGAAGTTATTCGAAGTACTTGCGCGTCAGCAGGAAGTACTCTCAGCAGATTCAGAACCTCGAACGAATTACATAGATCGAAGAACTGCAGGAAATGATCATACTGTGGTCGCTTTGCTAGAACTCACCTACCCTCTCGTCATCAGCCCACTGAGTTAGAGCATACGGCTCTTGTTTCCCGTCTCAAGATCTTCGTAAGCGTTGGATTTTGGCGCTGTATGGTAAGTGGGAGTACATTAAACGTCCTCACGCAATTCAGATACTCAACTATCACGTACATCGTAAATTGCATCTTGCCACATGAGGTGTTAATTTCAATACAGAAAAATATCAATTATGATCGAATGCAGTCAGTCCCGAAGTCGTCTAAACATCCCTTGTCCGAGATCCGCAAGAATCACTTGAAGTACATGGGCATACTGTCATTTCGTATATATCAATAAGCATCTGAAGTTCGTTTCGATCTAAACCCTCTTTCAAGCGTAACCAAACGACTCGATGTGTAGTCACACTCGGCCCACCGTTGGCTACACTGAGAGGACTAGAAACCGGGAACCGAAGAACACCACGAACAGACCGAGTTGTGCTCTGTGAGCCACACACTGAAAACAGAGTCAGTGTCACCATAATTTGCAGCGTATGGAGGCGAAAACTGACCGCTAACGGATATCCTGCCCGTCGCCGCTTTCACTTCGTCTCTGAGGATAGCCCGAAGGTCGGCCCTTTGATGTGCGAGCTTGACCGACTCTATCGCGAAAAGGGAGTCATTGCTTATTTCCATAGCTTTTCCATCCTGCAACTCGACCACCTCAGAACGGGAATCGTCGCGCACAGGTTTGACGTCGTCAGTTCGACCATACGATCCTGGCAAAGTCCCAATAGTTGCTGATGTGCCGGTCACATAAATGTGAATTGAAATAGATAGAGAAGGAGGTGCAAGCCGTAGTGCCCAGATAAGAACATCGTCGATTCAGTGAATATGATCTGAGCATTATAGACGAATTAACCTCTCCACAAGCCTCAGATCAACAATTCTTACCGATACTCCGAATTGACCAGATGAAAACGACACGACGGCACCTGCTTTCACCGTTGCGGACACGCCTGAAACAAAAATCAGGTTAAATATACAGAATCGGTAATCCAGTCGACATACTCTATTGTATCCAACAATATCGGTAGCGTATACGAGACTCCGGATCCACCTGAAAGCGGGACATGCATGAGCAATGTTCGACATGTAGAAAGTTCAGCGACTAACCAGCAATGAGCACAGATGTGTCATATGAACCCAGGTTAGGAGAATCTCCTCCACTGTCTACTCTCAACATGTTTTCGATCTGCTCTGCTGTCTACATCCTTTCTGCTTGGCTCTCGATGTTTGCGATCCGCTCTCAGGCTGTCGTCTATTTCGTTTATGCTCGGCTCTCAACGTACTTTCGAGGTATACTCCACCTGTTTCGCATCGGTTTCACTATTTTCCAGCTGCTTTCGTATACCGATTGTATTCCGCATAATACCTACTAAGCAATCAAAGCATATTTGACACTATTTAAGCACATTCTGGGAGGACAGCGCGAGTGTGCGTGAATGCGCCTAAATGTGCGCAATATAAAAGAAGCACAATAGAGCACATGGGGCACTGCCCCGTCTTATAGAAAATATGCTGTCAGTCCGGATATCGAGCGAAATGCGCGAGTATGTGCGCTGTCTCTCAAACGCACATTTCAACACATTCAGCCCTATTCGAGCACAGCTGATTCTCACTGGGAGTACTGAGTACTGATCATTGATGTCACCAAGTGCAGTGCGGCCTGCAAGAGGTCACAAAGGGCGGGTCACAACTCACAATGGACGGGTCACACTGGTATTGCAAACGTGACCAGATATAATTGGAACTCAGAATTAAGCTCCGCACGCGTCAGCCGCAGCCCCAGACTTTGACCCCAGACTCCGCCCCAGACTTTGGCCCCAGACTGGCCGTTTCCTGGATGTCCTCTCTTGCCTGAGGTTGTCCGTGGACCGTGCACGTGCGCCGATAAGCTTAGGTCAGCTCCACGAGGACCGTCAATTTCGATCGTTGGAACCTCCTAGCACACACATTTCGAACTTTGACTTCATCAAATCACGCTGTACAGATACATTTCGTCGTAGCAATTGCATACGCATCATTACTTTGTTTCACTGCCACCTGTAATCCATTCACTCAAGTGACAGTTACCGTGGGTCATGCATATGTTCAACTCGTTACTAGTAGTAAAGTTGAAATACCTCACTTGCACTGCGTCTTGAAGCTTGAAGCTTGAAGGTTCGAACGCCTGTTCTAATTCGTCTGTACTCCGGCGCTGCATGAAGACTCTCAGGCCCAGGCTCGTTCAGTGTTCACTCCTGCTCTTCTCCGAGTCGAGTCTTTTGTTCGTCTGCACTCTAGCGCTGCCAGTGCATGTGGACTCTCGTCCTTCTCGACTCGGAGTCTCTCTTTCAAAGTCGTGTGCTCTGGCGTTGCATCTAGACTCTTGTTTATTCGGTATGTGATAACTGCAACCTTATAGACAATGCTAACCCGTGCGTAGATCCCCAAGGAGAACTCACCCTCAGCTCTGGACCAAACTTTAGTCGATGTGACGAAAAATTGGAGTTGATATCAACCACTTCCATATCCAACATATAACTAAAGTGAATACACCAACACACGCTTATCCACATTATTTCGACTGCTAGCTGTTCCAACTCTCACTCTGACAATCCCCGACCTGTTCAGACCTCTTTCGATCGATTTATGCGCCAGATGGCTTCACGACGATGACGATATCGAAGACAGGTTCATCGCGTTCCGCCTCCTCATTGAGCTTCATGAGGAGCTATACCCGTGCGCTTTCTTATCGCACTTGTGTTGTTTCGTCTCACGTCTGGTTGTAGATGCTTATACGCTTTCTTGCAAAAACCATGTCTATCCAAGGGACCATTTGCTTTCATAGCCGCGGCTCCGTCTGTTGCTGAAATTGAAACCATTCGTCTGCACCGCATGTTGCTTGCATATTATCGCCAAGTTCTCCGCGCTAATCGTCTCCTTCCCAAGCATCTGCTATGGGACGGGTCGCTATTATCCAAACTACTCTTCCCGCCTCACCCTGATACAGATGTACGATTACTTGCTGCTCGGTGCTATGCATCGTATGTTAGTATGGCAAAAATTGAGCGCGTCTGTGATAAAGGTGCTGTGATGGATGTTGCAGAGCTCGCGGATGGCTCAAACAAGAAGCCACGTCACAGTATACGCACCTTGGCGAGAGCCTTGATGTTTGCTGCATATATTGCAGGGCCGTTCAGGTTGCGACGGGCGCTTTGGTAAGGGATGTTGATGGTATTCACCATGGTGTTAGATGAGGGACGCGCAGAAACTGTAACTGCCCCCTTGCACAGAAGCATATCCTTGCTGGTGTCCACAACCCTCGATCATTGTTTGCCAGAGAACCGAGTTTTCCTCCTAGGTGGTCTATAGAAGAATTCATCCAGTTTAGACCGTTTCATCTTGAGAAGGAACCACTCCCCGAGGACCCCATGGAGGAATATCATGACACCATCGATCGAGAAGAAGCTTGTCGACCTTGCAAGAATCGTCTTGACTCGACGCTTTCGCGTGCTCATTGAGGGACCCCACCTCGGCAGGCAAGACGAACGCAGTGGAGTACCTCGCTCGCAGAACCGGTCACAACTTCATCCGTATCAATAACCATGAGCACACCGACGTGCAGGAATGCCTCGGCTCATACGTTTCTGATCCTGCCACTGGCAACTCGTATTAAAAGATGGTTTGCTTGTCCATGCTCTCCGACATGGACATTGGATTGTACTGGACGAGCTGAACTTGGCACCTACAGACGTGTTGGAAGCTCTTAATCGGCTGCTAGATGGCAACCGGGAGCTCATCATTCCGAAGACACAAGAGGTCATTCGCCTACATCCACACTTTTCGCAACGCGGAATCCTTCTGGCCTATATGCAGGGAGGAAGGTTTTGCCCCGTGCCTTCCGACATCGTTTCCTCGGGGTTCACTTCCAGGATGTGCCTCAAGCGGAGCTTGAAACCATTCTCTGCCAGCGTTGCCGTATCGCGCCTTCCTATGGCTAGAAATCATCAGCGTGTTCCGTGAATTACAGAAACATCGTCAGTCAAGTCGCGTTTTTCGAGAGCAAACAGTGTTTTGCGACTCTTCGTGATCTCTTTAGATGGGCCGGTCGTGATGCAGGAGGTTATCAAGAGTTGGCAGAGAATGGGTATATGCTACTTGCGGAAAATGCGCTGTTACCGACTCCTGCTATCAACATCTATTGTCTTTCATTTACGGATTTGGTTCACGACAAGCCCAGATCTTAGTTGGGGTAAGGTATTTGGTTCCAACTCGAAGTCGAGGGTGGAAATCAATGAAGCGATTTCTAGGCCATGAAAGCGGTGAACTGGATTTGTCCACTTGTACTCTGTTGGCGACCTGGCCCCATAGGATCGTTACTTGGCTTCAACGGGCCTTGGTTCTATCATCTTGGTCTAGTGTTAGTGAGTTATATTTACGCTCATGCCTGTACCCTCCGCAATTTTCGTTCACTTTTCAATAATTGGTGCTTCCAAACGTCTTTGAACACTTTTTGCAGCTTCGATGATTTAGCGCGAGACTAATACTTCTAGAAATATCAAAAATATGAATCAACATCAAGGACGTGTACGAGGGAGTCTGTACATTCCTCGCAATGAAAGACTTCTAGTGCCCTCGGTTGCACGATTGTCGGGAAACCCAACTCATGTATACATACATACTCAATCATACAATCTAGTCCTACTTCCGCCTTTGTGTCTCTTGGTCAAAAACACGAGGAACTGGCACCACTCAAGTCGCACCGATATGAGTGTATCAGATATTTGCGTACTGTCTGGTCTGGGATAAATAGAGCACCGTGGGTCGAACCGGCCAGCCATAACTCAAATGCTTGTTAGCTAAAAGACGCGCAGTTTGATCAGATCAAAAGTCCACTCGACAGGGTATGCAATCATTCGTACTATTTTCTGTGTCAGTCTCACTTAACCGTCTAGTTGGAGCTCGACAAGACGGTCAAGATGTGTGATGCAAATCATAAACTGATTTAGCTTGACGTGGCATTTTGCCTCGTCACAGCTGCGTCACAAGTACATCACAACCAAGGCAGGCGCCTCAAAATGACTACAACCATTTCGCTAAACCTTTCATGATAATATAAAAGCAAGTTATCTTCTTACCGTCACTAGCGTCCATCTACCTCAAAGCCATCATTCGGGCCTTCAGCAGATCATAGCACCTCAAACAAGCAATATATTTCTTCTTCCTCACCTTTATTGCATTGACAGCATCTATGATGTCTGTTACAGCAAGGCGACAAATGTAGTGAACGTGACGAGAGTTACGAAAGAACAGCGACTGTTGCAATAAATACGCTCTCTGCACTGGTAATATATGCATCACTAAGGATATCAGCTACGTGATCCCTCCTCACCCATCAGTCCCAGTGAAAATAAGATACAGCTATATGCACGCGCTACTACACAGATTTACTGCGGCTATGACACTTCATATGATGCTCAAGCTAAGTCGAAGTCTTATCAGAATTCGGTCAAAGTAACAATAGAGTACCTTTATCTACAAAGTCTTATTTCGTCAACCTGCGTGGAAACGATCATGTCTGATTTCACTGTTGGCTGAAGTTTGAACGTCTCCAGGCCAGCGTGATGGGGGCTGAAGCCATGGAACACCAACACAGAAAGCATCAATCAATAAGCACAGTATGGGCATTATGCGATGAAACATCCTCACATTATTGATTGCTCTTGATGTCTTTAGTGGATCCTTGTATTATCGTCAAGGGGAAGTTCTAGGACTATAATATCAGTACAAACACAAAACGAGGGTGGAGCTCATATATTTAGATGAGCGATGGTACCGTTCTTCTTTGAGGAAATGTTTTCAAACGACTATACAAGTCCTGCAGCAAGTAAAGATCTTAATCAGCTGAACGTCCCGGGACAGCGAATGCGTACCTTGGTTGTAAATACAATCATCCCTCCAATAATACTGCTACGTTCAGCACGAACAGTAGCAACAGCTGCACACAGTGTGACCACCCGCGACCATTCACCCAGATGGTATGGTGCTTCCGGGACGAGTGCGAGGCAAGTCGTTACGATCAGGATAGCTCAGCAATAGAAAGCGAACTTGAGGGAATAGCACCACCAATCCAAATTATTCACGACGTTATAAAATCATTGGGAGGTGATATGAGGTGTTTATTATTCAAAGTAGTAAATGAAAACCTGAAAAATGAAGAACCGTCCTGCAATGGCACTCTTGGGTACCGTTGAGTATCTGCAACAAGTGTGAATACAGTGGTCAAGCACTCACCTGTCGCAGCTCTTGCGGATTTCGCCCAAGTCGCATTTATCCTGGGCGGGGAGAAGTGAAAGTGTCAAAAATAAGTGGTCCATGCATCTCTTGAGTGGACACGTGGCAGTATCTTGACTCTGGGGTGAGTTTATATTCAGTTCTGTGCCAGACTCCAGCAACGGCATCAGGCAGGAACACAGCATTATCTAGAGCGGATCTGGCACATTTGACACCACGTGGTCATTGAAGTCACTTCAAAAGCACCCGGAGAGGGCGAACAAAGGCGATGTATGGGGAGCTTCTAGACGATACTTGTGGAATCTGCTATGGCAGGCCTTGAGTACCTCTGGATACATGATACCTAGATAAGTACGGGGTTCTCGATACTGCAAAATAGTAATTAGCATGGTACAGTAGAAGTGTAGCGCTGGGATGGAGCCTCATGCATACAAGAGTCGACGGAGATGTTGTAAGGAGAAGTTGCACAGACCCGATAGGTCAGAACTTCCACGCATGAAAGAGGAGAGTCAATGGAGGCAAACATTGTGAGGAGACGTCGCACAGGCCTGATGAGGTGGAGCTTTCCAGTAAGCGAGTCATATTTGACACAACCACTTGGAAAGCACCAACTAACCGGCATACTAGTTCCGTGGGTGGGCGGGGCAGTTTGCAGGCAGGCGATTATAGACAGGTGGCGATATTGGATGATCATACTAATCGGCCCGATAATACTGGTCCATCGATGATTAGTAGGCCGATCACCATGGTGAACGAAGTTGGTCATCATCATTCATGGGTTATGGCCCGTATTCCTTGTGGTGGGATGTGCGCATCAAGAAATGAGCCGGGTTCCCAACGTTGCAACTCCCACAGGTTGGGTTCTTGCGCCATATTCCACACGGTGGGAATTTCGCACAGCCTGGCGAACTACCGAGCCAATCGTTATCTGAAATTCTTCTGAATCATTATCTGCATCATCTACAACCCGTTCGCTCAGCATACTCATATGGATAAACACTCACATTCACGAACACTATCAAGTGGAAAGGCCCGGGAGTCAAGGATCACAACAACCCGGGCCAATGAAGTGGATAAAAACAATGGTGGGCAAACTTGAACTTCCTTGGGAATTATAAAACTACAGAATCGAACAGGAGGATACTATTGGGAATCGGTGCGATAAGCCAGTACTAGAACTACTCGGATACACACGCTCCGCGTTATGTGTATGTGCGTCAAATTCTCTTCCAACTCACGTGGCTGACAACCTGTCTGCCAACTGAAAAGTGTTGCTTGATCAGCGTCCCCATGGAGCCTCTAAAATGTTCAGCAGTGGCCAATATTTGTTCTTATGCAAATAATGTTATTGCTCATTAATCATTAACCATCCTTCCTGTTGTGCTGGCTCTGTTTAATTTGTATTTGACTATAACTAACTTGGTTCACTTCAGGTAGCATGCGGAGATGGATCTCATAAACGGATGTCGAATGCGCTGAATCTACTCTGAATAATGCTGTGTTCCTGCCTGATGCCATTGTCGGAGTCTGGCACAGAACTGAATATAGACTCACCCGAGTCAAGATACTGTCGCGTTCGCTGTCCCGAGGCGTTCAGTTAAGTTGCGCAACCTAGTAAGCAGTACTCCCAAATTTGACGAGGGCTTTGAGAGTCGTCCGTGATGGTGCTTCTTTCTATCGAGAGAATCCTTTGTAGCCCTGTCGCAAGGCCGGTGTGTCGATTTAAGTTGGAAATGGGGTAAAGCTCATTCCAGAAGCATAGATCCGCAGACATCAGTCTGTTTCGCGGTGGCCTGGGATCCTCTTCGGATATGTGGTATCAAGGTTCGGGGGTCCAGGACCACATTGAGGTCGAGAAGGACAGCAATGTAGGGGAGATCTGATAGGTACTGGATCGTCTCATGCTTGCACGTGATATGATTTAGTTCTGCATGGTGATGCCTCCATGGAAATGAAAAATTGTGACGCGCGTTTCATATGACATGAAATGCATGTCACAATTTTTCATTTCCGAGGTCAGAATCCATTTTGTCGACTGACGGCTGCAAATGGCGGCATTACACCGCGCTTATGAGATGTCAGTGTCATGACTCGCAAAATCCATTCTTGAGCTTGAGCACTGCATCTAGCACTTTACAGCGATATCTTAGAAATGATATCGCTTGAACAACGTTTGGAGGCTTACCTTGAACGCTCGTTTTGTCAAATTCCGACTCATGTGTCGACTCAGAGAATGACAGACCTTAATTAATAATTACCTGGTTGATGTGCAACAGCTGGTATACCATCGACAAAAGTGTCACCGGCATGTAAGGCCAGTTGCCACCTTGTATGGTTTACAAACTCCGAACAGAATTGTAGAAGGTATGCAAGAGCTTGTAGCATGTATGCAAGCACTGGCAGAGATTTATGGAATGTAAAGTTTGTACATGGAATGTAGTGAATGTAAAGCTAGTACACAAAATGTGCAGAGATTGTACAGTTGTTACAAGTCTTAACAGTGTTGATGTGACCACTACAAAGTGGAAGAACATTAACTCTGTTCTTGGCTCGAATGGGTACAATGAAGGCGATGGAGATGAATGGGAGGACGAAGATGCTGGCTGGCACAGAAGCCCAATCTCGATTGAGGTACCTTCGTTGTGTACCACTGAAAATCCAGGTACCACTGTCGTGGTTGTCGCTGTTAGAACTATCCTGGTCGAACACGATACACTCGCGTGTGTTGTAACAGGTCCTCATGTCTACAAAGCAGCCACCCATTTATATCATCGATCCCTGGTCACTGTCTTACAGGAGAAACTTGCTAATCCTCAGGATGACAAGCTGTTCCATTACGAGCTGTACCAGCTCCGTTGGACTCCTCCTCACATGAATGTCAAAGTCTCTATATACGACGACTTGTACACATCGCCCGTGTTCCATGAAGCCCACACCGCACTGCAGGAATCACCAGGGGAACCAGACTGTGACTTGCCCCACGTTGTAGCTGGCCTTATGTTTTGGTCTGATGCTACACAGCTTACCTCATTTGGCAATTCCAAGCTGTGGCCTACCTACATGTATTTTGGCAATGAGTTGAAGTATCGGCATTGCAAGCCATCGTGCCATTTGAGTAATCATGTGGTGTATTTTGAGATGGTATGTTCCTTCACTGTTGGCTCTGCTGCATGACATAATATATATCATATTGGCAGCTCCTGGACTTGTTCAAAGATTTGACAGGTGGAAATGGCATGACCAGTGACTGCATGACACATTGCCATAGAGAATTCTTCCACGAGTAGTGGAAGATCTTGCTAGATGATGAGTTCCTCCAGGCATATAGGGAATAGCACGGGTAACCCGTGGGTATTCCAGCCTGTACCCATAC